GCGCATACTTTAATTCATTATACCGCTTCTTGTTCTGAGATATAATAAACTACACTTTTGATTCGAAATCAGACATTTCATAGTTAATGACCCAATAATTGTTCCGTGCTTGACAAAACCAAGGTACACAATGCTCGGGGTCCACTAACGCATCTGTGTGGAATGCCACTGGTGACCTGCCCAGAACAGAACCCGGGACGTGCGAGAGGCCTAGCCAACCCCAGGGTGCAGAAGGGACTTACCAGACCGCCCCACGTCCAAGCTGGGCCCAGGAGGGCGGTGGCCTGACCACGGCCGCAGCAACCCTCCACCCCAAGCGGCTGAGGTCTGCTAGGGCCCGACTGCGCCGGTCCGGGCCGAGCCTGTCCCCAGCCTCCTGGACTGGCCCAGCCCGCAGTTCCGTTGGGCGCGAGGGCCCCGGGCAGGCGGAAACCTCGTGCTCCCAACCTGCACTGCGCGCGTCTCACGTCACTGCGGGCAACTCCCGCGAGAGGGGCGCGGGGCAGCCAGTTGCTGGGCAACGAGGCCAGGCGGCTCCCAGCCACTAGGCGACTTCCTGAGTCTTAGGTCGAGGGCGCGAAGAGCGCGTCCAGCACTCCTTCTTCGCCTCGCAGGCTGCGGGAATCCAATTCCATCACCCTTGTCTACCGTATGAGGGGATTTAACTCGCTCCGAGATGCTCCCAGCCTTCAAGGGAGGGGGTGCCTCCAAGGCTGTGGCTCTTTGAGGGCCCCAGTCCCTGCTCAGATCTGACCTTTGCAGGCGTCAGGTTTTTCTGGGACCTCCAGGAACAGAGCCCCCACACACCAATGGCGATTTCCCAGATTTGGTTGGTTCGTTGGTTTTTGTTTTGTTTTGTTTGAAACTTACTCAGATGGTTGTAAAGATTGCCTGGAAAACTGCACATTTAGAATGAAGCCAAACCCAAAGGGCACGTGTGTGTGTGTGTGTGTGTGTGTATGTGAGTGTGTAACATTTGCTAAGGGATTTCCCCCCTCACAATTGTTCTGTGTGGCCAAGACTGAACAGCTAAAACTTGTTCTACTAGTGTAAGCATTAAAGAAGAGCCCTTTTGGTGCGCTTCGAACTCTGAAATTCTTCTTTCCTGCAGCAAACTGATTCTGTTACTTTTCTTGTGCCTTCATTTTGTAGGAAATAGCTCACATCCCTCCAGCTCTACTTCTGACAAAGATTCTCTTCTTGACCAAACTTAACTCAGGCTCCTCCGACCTCTTAGACAAATTAATTTTGGCAAAACTGCTAAGTCAGTTTAGACTTCCTCAATATCTGATCACCCTCGGTATCTGATTGTGTTCCTCATCCTTGGACAACCGTTGGTGCTGTCTGATCACCTTGGTGGGCCTTAGCTAGAATCCTGCTAGGTCAGTTGAGCTAGAATCCCCCCTTACCCTTTTAGTAATTTTCCATCCACTGGGCCCCACCCTGTTCCTTGGCTATAAATTTCCACTTGCCCGTGCTGTATTTGGATGTACCCCTTGTGCCTTAAACACTGTAGATACTGAATAAGGATTTCTGGAAGGAAGGAAGGAATCCACATTCCTCTTACTCCTGTCATTTTTCAATCTCTACCTCCTCTAATTTCTTGTTAGCCTTTAAACATGCTTTCTTTTTTCCTTAAAAACTACCCTTCATGTATTCTATTACCTCCTAAAGTTATTGCCTCATTTCTCTTTCCTTTGAGTACTGCTAAATTTCTTGAAAAAGTGTCTCATCTTTTTCATGTTGAAAGTCCTTAAAAATGGAACTATATCTTGTTTATTTTTCTATTTCCTACAGTCTCTTGTATACAATATGAACTCAGCAATATCCACTGAATTGACATGAATGGAAAGGACATAGCTATGGTGATATTAGACATTTTGAACAACATAGAAATTGAATAAAACTGAGTTTTCAAAATTTATTTTTGATGTTGGTTCCATAGGAAGAAATACATTTAATTAGAGGAGACATGGCGAATTTAGTAGCAGTTTTAAAGGACAGTTCAGGAAGAACTTTGGTATTTAACTCAGAAATTTACGCTTTCTCTAGAAGCAGTACTTCTGTGCTATCAGTCATAATTAGGCTTAGTTTGGGCCCAGAGAAGGAGCCGAATGCACAGGGAATGAGGAAGAAGGGTTACAGAGCCTGTGTGCACAGTGAGATTGTCTGGCGCAGACAATGAATTGTAAATGGGAAAAGGCAAGTGAAAGAGGAATGGAAGAGGAAGTATGGACGATCTTGTGGGGTGACAGAAAGGTTGTTCCAGCCTTCAGAAAGTATCTTCAGTTGAGTGGGTGTGACTAGTGAACATAGGTGAGCATGAGGGGCAGGCCCATCCTCCTACCTAAGACAGACCTATGCAACTAAACAAAACCTTCTTAGCCTGGGCTGGAGACTGAATGTGTCCTCCCAAAAGTTCTATGTTGAAGCCCTGATCTCCAATATGATGGTATTCAGAGGTGGGGTCTTTGGGAGGTAGATCATGAAGGTGGAACCCTCATGAATAGGATTAATGTTCTTAGGAAACACAAGAGAGATGATCTCTTTTTCTGCCAAGTGGGAATACAGTAAGAAGGTGTCCATTTGCAGGCCAGGAAGAGCCCTCGCCAGGACCCAAATTGGCTAGCACCTTGATCTTGGACTTCCCAGCCTCCAGACCTGTGCAAAATAAATGTTTGCTGTTTAGACTATGGTATTTTTGTTACAGCTTGGTATTCAAAATTTTCTTTAGCGTGGCCACAACTTACCTTTTCAACATGGCCTCCCACTTCTCTGTTCACATGTTTTATGCCATCACCCTTTGCCTGCATTATGACAATAGCTTCCTTGCTGGTTTCTCCCATCTACTTGGCTCCATTTTGATCTGTCCTCCACACTGTAACTAGAATGGTCTTTTCAGAATGCGAATCTCATCATGTCACCCCTTTACCTAAAGCCTATCAACTGCTCTCCATCGTCTGCATGGTCTGCCCCTGCCTCTTTGCAGATTCATCTTGTACCAACCACTCTCTGCCTGTGCTCCAGCTATACTGACCTTTAGCGTCCCACCACAGGGACTTTGCATATGCCACTCCTTCTGCTGGGAGTGAGCTTTCCCTCCCTCCTTGCCTAGTTAACACCTCCTCATCCTCTGAATCTTAGTTTAGTTATCACTTTGTCAAAGGCAGGTTTCCCATGAACCCTCCTTCCATACTCTGAGAGCACTCTCATCACTTTGCTTTCGAGCTTACTCCCGTTGCAGTTATACTCGTTATTCTGATGACTGGACCATGTTATTTGTTTCTTTCAATGGCCTGTGAACTCCAGTAGGGCAGGACCATGTCTATTTTTGCTCTGTGTTCCCAGTGTCTGATAGCATAGACATTTGATAACAAATAATGAATACGTGAATGCAATTTTTGAGGACAGGGAACATAAAGCCTTTATCTCTGGCAATTTCAGTGCCTGCACAATGAATGGATGCGTAAAATGTGTGTAGAACTAAGAATGTGGTGTAAATGAGAATTCATTCATTCCTCCCAAGTAATGGTCAACGGTCTACCATACATTGGGTAACGGGCTAGAGGCTGAGGCTAACCAGGATGAGCAAGGTCAAAGCTTGCTGGCTTTTAGTTTCGGTTGTGCAAAGTGTGCCTCAGTAATATCCCCTGGCTCAGACCTCATCTACACCTAGACCATCCCCCACTTGCCCATTTCAACTTTTTGTTCTTTTTCACTTTGGCAGGGTCCCCTGCCCCCACCTATATAAACCCTAACTCTCCTCCCCTTGGACTCAGCTTTTAACAGCATGCCAGCGTCATTCTGGTGGCATGATCTCATGATTCCTCCTAAGAGTACTCTGCTGGCCAGAGTGACCGGCTAGCCAGGCTGCCCTCCTAGACCTGAGGACCTCAGGAAGACCCCTCAGGCATGAGAACCAGAACCTCTGGGGCACCTGGGCAAGGACAAGTGTGAGAGGGGGGAGTGTAGAAGCTGGAGGGCACCTGGGAAGGGGACAAAGGCTCTGCTTGGATGTCACTGCTGGCCCAGGCCAGACCCCAGCCCCAGGAGGGGACTTAGAAAATTTCAGTGAAGGCAATTCAAAGCAAAGGTCTCCCAAGGCAGTCCTGCTACCTGGCTTTTTGGACCCCTCAAGCATCACACCTAAGGTCTGGGAGTAACCTGCAGGAAAGCTGTGACCAAGCACTGTCCCTTCTATCAGTAGTGCTTCAAATGGATCTGGCTCACCTTGGCATTCTGCCACAGAGAGCAGAAAAGCCCAGCAGCAGGCAAGTGTCCCCTTCTTCTGTATTTACTGGTATCTTCCCACTGGGCACTTCCAACACTACTTTCCTTTCTTGTGTTCCTGGTTCTTTGACCTCCTTAGCTAGAGACTCTAGATTCTGATTACTGGCCTCATTCTCTCCTTACTTAATGAGTCATTTGGGCCAATTCTCCTGCTTACCAACCCCAGCCCTTCTCCATGGGTGTCTCACCCCCACAGGTTCCCTTAGCTTAACACACTGGGAGCATCAGGGTGCCGCCAATCCTACTGCAGAAAGGTTACCGTGCAGCCCAGCTCCATTCTGTCAGCTCCCTTGGTAATTCTTCCAGTAGCTGGAACTGGCCTGCTCTGAATCCCTCTGTGATTAGCAGCTTCTGTCTCTGAGCTGAATTAATCACATCCAATTTTAAGGTGACAGGTTTTATCTGCATCTCAAGGGTGCAGAGGGAGTGGCCACAGCCTGAGCCCGAAGATTTTACGCAGAGACCTGGCCTTCCAGATAATGTACAGTATTGACCACTTTGAACTTTCTGTCTGGTCATTCCCACAGACAGGATGATGCATAAGGAGGACAAGACACATTTAAGAAGTGCAAACTAATGTTTCTAAGATATATTACCAAAGGTGCAGAGCTAAGTGGTTTTCATGAACCTCAGGATACACATGGAGGCTTTTCATTGGAACATGGACCTCAGAGTCATGTTAGTTGGTCAGTTATCACCGCTACTCTCCATTGCCAGGCTGAAATATTTATTTGAAAAATTGAAAACACAGATGCAATATATTATACAAAGAAAGGTCTTAATACCATAATAAAAGTATTGTTGGAAGGAAACAAAAGCCAGTGGCTACCTGCCCTGGGAAGGTAGGCACTCAGTGAAAAATGAAATTCATCAATAGGAATCATCCTAATGAAAAATTGGGGGACAGGTTAAAAACAGAAGAAAGGAAAAATAAACCCAACCCTATCCCTGCAAATCTAAATGTGAAAGAGTTTGTTCTAAGTTTGAGACAATTGCATCATCACCAAGATTTAACCGAAACCCCCTCGGTTTGTCCCTGTGAGTGGTAATCAGCTTAATTTAGGGCCTTCAAACCTGAGGTAGTTGAGGGTCACCTGAAAGACATGTCTGGAAAAATCTACTCTCAGAATCGGCCCCAACAGAATCTAACCAATGGTTTCACCTCGCTTTGGCTCCTGGGGTGAGGCGGTGCCACTGCTGTGTGTTGCTGATCCTGTATTTGGTGTGGACCTGGAAGAAGAAATTGAGCACACGTAGCTGGCCTGGTTTGCTGTGCTGACGGCTGGCAGGCCCACGATGGTGGTTTTCTCTGCTACAGGTGGTGCAGTCTCTGGAGGACCCAGGATGGCAGAGAGAGGGCAAAGCCGGTCTGCTTGGAAGGCCAAGGTTGGGACTGAAGGCTTTCATTGGCAGGAAGGATTTCCAGATATTTGGAAAGGTGGTAGAACATAGCAAGACATTTCCCAGTTATTAAAGACCAGGGTGAAGTGGAGCCAGTAGACCCCTCTAGACTAAGAAGCTGGCAAAGAAATGAGAACTTCCACGGTGCAAGCTGAGAACCAGCTCCTTCTCAGGGGCGAGAGGCCAAAGCAAACGAACCTGACCGAAATGACATGTACTTGTGATCCCTGTGCTACCTGGTATAAACCTTGGTGTCTGACTTGGAGCTGAAAACAATTCCAAGAAAGGATGCTACGGGCAGCGTTTGGTTCTTCCAGCCACTGGGTTAAGGACTCATATCCAGATGGGCTCCTAGGGACACTGCCGATGGCAGCAGGATTGACAAACAATCTAAATTATAGTCTGATTTAAACTCCTTGCTCAGATATAAAATAACCCCACAAAGGAAACTTTTCTTTTTTTCCCCTTATTATGTATACAAATATCCTTACTCAAGGTATTAGAGCACTTTATGACAAAATTAAGCTGCAACTGAATATCAACCTCTTCTTCACCCTAAACCATTATTTTCTTGCCATCTTGTCTTGTCATGACCCATTTACACTCAGCCCAAGACTTTGGTCACTAGTGATGCTCAGTGACTCATTTAAAAGGCTGTGAAGTTCATTTTTAGCTTTAAGATGTGATTCCTGTTTTAATCAAAGGTATTTCACAGCAAGTATAGCACATTCATTTTTAGAAGAGTGAAGGTAGGACAATTTGACTTTAGCTGGAGAATGGAACAGTTTCTAATCTGAGCTATTATGAAAGTAATTACACTCCATCTTACAGGTATTTCCCCATGTGACACTGAATTAGCCTGTGCTTCTGTTTGAGTGCTTTGTTAACTATTTTATTACTTAGGCTAAGTTCGGGAAGGTTTTAAAAATTACTGTGGCTTCTTTTTAGAGGGAGTGTTATTCTGAGCATCCTAATCTGGTCCAACGCACGCTTTTCTCCCCATTGGTAATTTGGAAAACATGCGTTTGAATGGTTGCGACCCTAGAAGTGAGGACCAGCCACTTTTGGACCTGGCGACCCTCACTTAGAACACACTGATTCACTTAACCGGCACAACTGGGACAGGATGCCACACACCACTCCTTCTGAGCCTTGGGATGGAAGAACACTAAGCACAAAGCAGCATTAAACTTAAGACTGCCCAGTTCCTACTGCTGAGACCTCCTTAGCCCAATATGGAGGTCACACATCTGAGTATGGTCATCTGAGATCCTGGGAGACTGTTTTTTGGAGCACCCCACTTAGAAAATGCACAGAAAGGGAGCTGGGGGGTGGGGTAGAAAGAGGGGGGCTGATTCACAGTGATCAAAACAGCAGTCTCACAACCCGTCCTGTACCAAAACTTAGTAATGTTCCTTTGGGACCAGTCCTGGGAAGTGCTTGTTGGCTACTACTACTGAGTTGCTAGAGATAAAGAAGGAAGACTTGTTGTTTTTCCAAGATCAGAAGGTCACTTAGATGCTGCGGTCCATCTGGGAGTGGAAAAGTGCTGGCAGGCTGCCCGTCTCTAGGAGGCTGTTCACGTGCCCTCTGTCCTTATCCTGTCTGTCTGTCGGGCAGCAAGAGCCTGGAAGGTGTGGCTGGAAGGTGTCAGAGCCAGTGGCTCCCCTTTCTCATTTCCCTGACCCCAAAAGCTCAGAGGGACCTGCTTGCTTTGGGGTCCTTGCCAGGAACAATCCAGGGATGGCACCTTGGCCTCGCTTCTATTTCTTGAAGGCTGATGCCGCAGGGCAGCGATACAAGCCTTGCCACAGTCATAAGCATTTTCCTGTAGGCTGCTGCTGCATAAAGGAGGTTAGTAATAAATACTAAGGGTACCAAACCAAGCACGGGGCTCTTTCCTGATGGGAGCAAGCGTGTCTGATCTTCTGGGTCTGTCAACATGCAACGATCTTCAGATCCAAGAGAATGCCAAGGCAGACATCTGGAGCAAGGAGTTGGGACGCTCCCTCTTAGGGCCCTGCCTGGGAATGAAGGGAGGTGGCCCACTTGACGTGACATGGACGATTCATTCTAGGGGAAGTAGTGTTGTTACTCTCACCAGCTTGGTTCAAGCGTGAGTTAAGGTTTTTGAGCCTGGTCACAGGAATTCCTAAGAAAGGTGTCCCCTAAAGACCTGGGTCATTCGTACCCCTCCTGTCCCTCCTTCTATTGCCCTCTCACTTATGAAGGGGGACAGAGGCTTCCAGCTGGAGTCTAGCTGGAGGGAGGAAAGGCACTCGCTCTGCTTCTGCCTTTTGAGCACAAGCTGTTACTCAGCAGCTCTGCCTGTCTCTGGAGCATGGCCTCGGCCGCCTGGCCGTCGCTCAGCAGGAGGCAGAGGTGGAGCACCAAGGCGAAGCCTGAGCAGCACCGTTGCTGGAACTGCCATTGCTGGAACTGCCGTGGGGTGGGGCCCCAGGGAACTCAGAGCTCCAGGGACGTGCCCTTTGGGAGAGTTGGCTATGTGAGTGAACCATTAAAAAAAAATCAAACAAAAAAAACCCAACCAACCACCATAAGAAGCAGTGGGAATCCACGGAACTGCCCAAAGAGGGGTAGAACTGCGCTGGCATTCTCAGCCAGGACACCCCGCTGTTCTTCTGACTGTGCGGATTCAGGGTAGTGTCCTGGTTTGGAATCCACCAGCCCTCTGATGCTCACAAGTTTGTGCAAATGATGAAACTGAACAGACTGAGAAGAAAACAGAAAAAAAAAAATGCATAAGATCCTCCCTTTCCAAGCTCTTGACAACACCAAGAAGCCCCTCTTATAAGGACACCAACTGCTGTGGGGGGCAAAAGGAGGCAGGCCTGGATGGAGGTTGCTCTGGTGCATGGCCTAACCCCCTCCTCTTTGGACCTGAGGTTGTTCACGGGTGGCCTGGACACTAGGGAGGCGGGGAAAGAACAGAGACCGTGGGTTCAAACAGGACGGGTGTCACTGTGGAGGGAGTCTTTGGAAGGGTCATGCAGGTCCTCAGCACTGGGCAACGGGAGTGGTGTGGCTGCCACGGGGACTTCCACCGATTTGGTCTGTGGCTGGGGAAATAACACACACAGAGATGGGTAATGAGGATTTACACTCTGACGTATGGGGTGTCAGTTTGGCTCTATTCTTTTTCGGTTACCGCTTCTTGCAGTGCAGGTGGAGACGTTTCTGTTCCTAAAAGACAATGACAATTTACGTCACATAGCATGTCATGCATCTAAGCAATAAAAATTGCCACCATGCTGGGCTCTAAAATATACGACAGTCATAACCACTGTATAAATCATCTATTCCCCGAGTGCTGTGTCTAGGAACTACTAGGATCTGTCTACAGTTGGTGCCCAGAATCAGTCAAGTTAACAGTCTTGGTTGTGATCAAGGTGACCACTTTGGACATGCAGAAAAGCAGCACACAGAGACTCAGGGACAGTGAGTCCCCGGGCTGGTAGGCTGGATACGACTGCATGCCACTGTTTCTCAGTCCCTGACCCCTGCTATTTTTGGCCATTACTGCCCATCACTGGCTCTAGAGGGTACGTTGCAATTCACATGTCCCTGACTACGGATCTCCAGTGACCACTACTCATTCCATGTTCAACCCTGTGTTGGGCAGAGCTCAATTCTCAGGGAGTCAACCAGGCTGGCTGGGCCTGGGTGGGGATGGCAGTTAGTGAAGTGACCAGTCCATGGGTCAATATTTAGGCCTTGAAAGGTGATGATAAAAGCTTTCAATTTTAGGCTTAAAGGTTATTAATAACTGAACAGAAAACAGGCTTGTGAGAAGAGGAAAGGAGGAAGTGACCCACCCAGAGGGTTCCATGTTCTGGTCTATTGAGGGGAAGGCCCTGGCCGCACACCCCCACCCTGCTGCGGGCCAGTGCCAGTCCTCAGACTCAGCTTACCTTCCTCCCAGCCTTCAGCAACGCCAGCAAGCTCGTAGTGCTTTTTCCGAAGCTCTCCCAGTTTCTGACGCTCCTTCTGCAATTCATTTTCTAGCTCCAGCACCCTAACCTGGAGGGCAGAGGAAGTGGAATTTGCTTCTGATCAGCTCTCTGAGACCTGTCTTATTTTGAAGTAATCCCTTTTCCTCTGCAGTCCAGGTTCCTGCTTCCATATTATTCACCCTGTTTCCATGGCTTACCCAGCCCCCCATTTCAACTCTCTTCTCTGCTCTAACTTCTCCATCCTCCCATTCATCTGTCTGTATCAGGGGCTCTCGTGTTTTTCTCACTGTGACCCACTACTGGAAATGAATACTGCCTTACAAACCAATGCCTAAGTGGGGTTATCTCCTGTCCCTCTGATTAGTCACTATCTAAAAACAACCCTAATGTTTAGCCTACCTGTATGGCTGCTGCTTCCAATGTAGTTGTAACCTTTCTTTAATCCCAGTTCCCTGTAAGTCTAGGTAGGAACCAAACATGATGATTCTGGGATCTCTAAGGTGCTGGTGCAAAGTAGGGTTATTACTGCTACAGCAAAAGATGCGGACAATCTTACTAAAGGAATGGGCGATCTTGGCTGGTTCTACTTCTCATCCGTTTTATTTATTAATTCAAGAAATATTTGCTCAACACTCATCCTGTACCCTGGGCTCTGTTATAGGTGCTGGAGACACAGTGGTGAATGGATAGACGAGGTCCCTGCTTACCTTGCAGGGGAAAAAGAGACAAACACATGAACAAGAAAAGTTCAGATCATAAAGAAAATGACACAGGGCGATGTAACAAAGACTAAGGATGGTCAGTGAAGGCTACTACTATCAGGAAGTCACTTTTGAGCTGAAACCTAACTGGCCTCAAGAGCTCAGCCGTGGAGGGAACTGGGGAAGAACATTCCAGGCAGAAGAAGAGCGAAGGAATAGGCGAGAGGTGATGGGAGAAGGAAGGGAGTCCTGTGCAAGACGTGTCAGAGAGGGAGAGGGTCGTGAGATGAGCGGGGGAACAGCAAGGATCACTTCACCCAGGGCCCACCGGGTGAAGCGTTTGGATATTCATATTCCATGTGCAAAGGGCAGCCGTTGGGAGGATCCAAGCAGAGAGGCGGCAGGCTGTGAGTCACGTTTTAAAACTATCACATGGAGAATGAATGGACTTTAGAGAGTCAAGAGTTGAAGCAACTAGACCCAGTAAGGGGGTTCCTTTTTTGGTTTTGCCCTTTACCTTAGGGAGAACGTATAATATCTACAGAACGATGGAGACTAAGCGCAGTGACCCCTCTACCCCAGCTCCACTACCTACCCTCTGTCAGCCAGACCAGTCTCAGCAATGTTCCCTGATGTTCTCCTCACTACCCGCCCCTGCTGTGGGATCGTTTTAGACAAATGCCAGAACACATTACAGCTAAGGTGCCTTTTTCTTTTTTTTTTTTTCGAGACAGAGTCTCAACTCTGTTGCCCGGGCTAGAGTGCCATGTTAGCCTAGCTCACAGCAACCTCAAACTCCTGGGCTCAAGCAATCCTCCTGCCTCAGCCTCCCAAGTAGCTGGGACTACAAGCATGTGCCACCATGCTCAGCTAATTTTTTTTATATATTTTTAGTTGGCCAATTAATTTCTATTTTTTTTTTTTTTTAGTAGTAGAGACGGAGTCTCACTCTTGCTCAGGCTGGTTTCGAACTTCTGATCTTGAGCAATCGCTTGCCTTAGCCTCCCAGAGTGCTAGGATTATAGGCGTAGCCACCGTGCCTGGCCCACCTAAGTTGCTTTTGCAGGAGACAGATAAGGATGGTTCAGACTAGGGTAGAGAGGAGGAGAGAAGTGGGAGGATTAAGGCTTTGTTTTGGAGATTTAGAGTTGATGGGACTTGCTGATGGTTTGGACACGGAGGGTAAGGGAAAGAGAGGGTGCAAGGATGACTCCTAGGCCTGGGTCTTCACATCCAGGTGGGTGGCAGGGGTGCCAAGAGAAGAGGGACAGAGTGTGGTGAGCGGGATGCCAAGAGGCTGCTTCAGACATATTACGCTGTGAGACTTATTGGGCATCAAGTGGAGATATCAAGCAGGCAGGATATGTATGGGGCTCGAGGAGAAGGTCTAGGCTGGGGAGAGGAAGGTGGTATTACCAGCACATAGATGGTACTTAAGGTCATGAGGGACTGGATGAAACCACTACACGAGACAGCCCTTCCAGTCTTCAGTCTTGAGACACAAGCTTGGCCACTCACCCCTGCCTAAAGATGCTCAGTGACCCACCTGTAGAAATTTGATGACTCTAATCTGGACTTTACCCCAAGACTGATGACCAAGAAGTCTAGAACAAGGATGGCAGAGGTTTCTCAGGATCTCCCTAATTCCTATTTTGCAAGGCACAACTTTCCTGAGCAACAGGGAGAAATGGCATTGCCTTTGATGAGTTAACAGGGAATTGATTGCTTTAAAAAAAAAAAAAAACCTAAAAGTTATACATAAATAATTCATACCAGAAGTTTAAAAAAAGTTTGCCTTTGAACTTGCCAGAAAAATACTAAAAAAATTTAAAAATTGTCTATAGTAAGACCATTAAGTAATAGTCTGTGGACTTCTAGGAGATCCCTGACAACATTTAGAGGACTCTAGTCCAAGATTAGTGGGCAAGAGTTAAGACTTTGATCTTCACTAATCACCTCTCTCCACCTCCTATCTACTGTTTTTCCAACATCATTTACAATGAATCTTGGGCGAGTAGGTACAGCTGCGTGACCTTCCCTCAAGTCTTTCCCTCTCTCTCTGGCTTCTTGCCATAGGAATAATATTTGGGGCCAATGTCCACGCAATAGAGACTGCCTAGACTCAGGGCTGGGCTCTCACCTGGGAATCCATCTCTTGGCGTTTGATCTGGGTCAGTGTCATGCTCGAGAAGTCCATGTTGTCTGCAAGGATGGAAATGAGAAAACCTTGTCAAATACGACCCCTGGCAGACAGGTGCCCGAGAGAGGCGGCCCGTGCCAGCGCTCTGCTGAAATGCCTGGCTTGCCCATTGAGGGATGAAGGGGAAGAAAGGATGAAGTGGTTCTGGTGTAAAGAGGTGTAAAGAGAACCAGCCTCCCCAGGTTCAACCAGGCTTCTCGAGTCATTTATCTAAATCAGAGGTTCTCAAACTTTTTAAACACGGGGCCAGTTCACTGTCCCTTAGACCGTTGGAGAGAGCGGCACACACTCCACACATGCGCACTGTGGGCCCGGGACGAGTCGGCTGCTAAGCAGGACAGGCAGCAGCGGCAAAAACATCAGGCAGGCTGGATAAATGTCCTCGGCGGGCCATATCTGGCCCGTGGGCCGTAGTTTGAGGATCCCTGCTCTAAATCCAGAGAAACGGCTAAATAGAGAATCTACTTAAGGGCCTGCCACTGTAGTGACATAAACAGTATGCCTGTGTGGTGTCCCACCTTGTGAGAAAATACGTATGGAGGTAAAAAGAGGAAAAATAAGAAAGAATTTCGAAACAGAACTGTGGGACATTGGGATCATGGGTAAGAAGGCAGAGAATGGGCAGAACAGAGTGGGCAAGAATAGCATTCCTTCTGGAAGGCTACCTGTCTCCTCAATCTGTGATTTGCCAGAAATGGTTGAGGCCACGACCCCGGCAGTGGCCTGGTTCACTCCCCGAGAGGCCTGCTGCAGCTGAGCTAGGTTGGGGCTGTCCTTATCGGCTTTTACCTGCCGGAACAAAGCAGATTTAGGTTTCCACACACCTAGAGCTGTGAGTACTATATTGAGAAGAGTTGGTCTTATGGGTCTTGACAAATATGTGTGATCCACAATAGTTATATATCATTAACTTCTCAAAAAATTACTGCCTACAGAGTCAGCTCCTAGTATAACTGTAATATAAAAAAATTATTCCTGGGTTATTTACATGGTAACTCCAAACTGTAGCTTTATCACGTATTAGGATAGAGTGTTCCAGTTGTGGAAAGCAATTTGGGACAACAAGAAATAAGAACAAATAGACAACATTCACTTGGTACTGTCAAACTCTCAAAAGAAGTTTGGTTATAAGCCCTGCACGGGAATTAGTTGGGGCAGTGATTCAAATTAGGAGACTAATAATGAGAAATCGTAGAATTTCGGCACCAAGCCAAATGACTTGTTTATTGTGCCAACATATTCCGTTTTTTTTTTTTTTTTTTTTTTTTTTTGAGGCAGAGTCTCACTTTGCTGCCCAGCCTAGAGTGAGTGCCATGGTGTCAGCCTAGCTCACAGTAACCTCAAACTCCTGGGCTCAAGCGATCCTGCTGCCTCAGCCTCCCGAGTAGCTGGGACTACAGGCATGCGCCACCATGCCCGGCTAATTTTTTTTTTCTATATATATTAGTTGGCCAATTAATTTCTTTGTATTTATAGTAGAGATGGGGTCTCGCTCTTGCTCAGGCTGGTTCCGAACTCCTGAGCTTGAGCAATCCACCTGCCTCGGCCTCCCAGAGTGCTAGGATTACAGGCGTGAGCCACCACGCCCGGCCCAACTATTCCTTATTTGAGAATTCCTTGAATGCCAGGATTGCTAATCAGAGGTTGGCACGTCTGGGGCCCTCCAAGGCCACTTGTAACAGAAATGAGAAGAGCCACGGGGATGCATGTGGCGAGGTAGGTAGAGGGGCTCCTCGCTGACAGATGAAAGGCTTCTAGAGGAGAGTGGCGTGGGATCCAACCCACCTGGACCCTGGATAAATCGCCTGTTCTTGGGGCCAGTTCCATTGACCAAGGGCTCTCTAACCTGGCCAAGGACTCTCTCACCAGGCCTCACAGTCCAACTCAGGTAATACCTTGGATGCAGCCACGAGCTGGGCTGTGCTAGCAGCAATTTCATGTGAACACACCATTAGCTCCTCAAATTTCCCTTTGCCTTGGACCACCAGATCAGCTGCATCCCTGGTAGGAAAGGACAAGAGGGACCAGGTCACAGGCAGGTAAGCTGCAGCCCTCACGACCCCACATCCAGACACCCCCATCGCCCTGCTGGACAGGGAGGGGCCTCCTTACTCTGCAGCACCTGGGAGACCCAGGCTCCCTGGCGAATTATTTGCTTTCTTATCAATAGTTCGTTTCTAGGGGATAGATTTTTTGCCCTAAGCTATTGTTTAGGGTGGATCAATGGAATGAGCGGGTGGGAAGAGGAACCCTGGGAGCAACAGACACTTACACCATGATGGTGGCTCCCCAGCCCACAGCTTTGGAGGCTGAGATGAGTCCTTCCGTCCATCGAGAGTTCTTGGCGTAAAACTCTTTAGGGGACGCTGTACCCTAGGGAAGTAAAAAAAATCATAATAGCTACCTTCTATTGAGCACCTACTATGTGACAAGTGCTTTTATACATATTATTCCATATCATCTTCACAGTAACTCTCAGAGGTAAGCATTATTTTAATTCCCATTTTACAAATAAGAAAACTAAAGTTCAGAGAGGCAAAAATGCTTTTCCCAAGGCTATGCAGTACCATATGGAAATCCTGGGCTTTTCTGACTCTAAAACCTATATGTAGCATTTCTGTTATAGCATAATGCTTCTATATTGCATATATAACAATATATATGTGTGTTCATATATGAATAAGTTATAATTTGAGGGGAGTCTAGCTGTTTTCCATGATTTGTCAGAAGAGGAGAATATGTAGTGAATAATTTTTAAAAATTATTTATTTTTTGGTCAGGTGCAGTGGCTCATGCCTGTAATCCTAGCACTCTGGGAGGCTGAGGCTGGAGGATCATTTGAGGTTCAAGACCAGCCTGAGGAAGAGTAAGTCCCTGTCTCTACTAAAAATAGAAAAAATTAGTGGCGTGGTGACGTGCACCTGTAGTTCCAGCTACTCGGGAGGCTAAGGCAGGAGAATCTCTTGAGCCCAGGAGTTTGAGGTTGCTGTATGCTAGGCTGACACCACAGCACTCTAGCCCAGGCAACAGAGTGAAACTCTGTCTCAAAAAAAAAAAATTATTGATTGACTGATTGATTGCAGAGACAGCATCTTGCTATGTTGCCTGGCTGGTCTCAAACTCCTGACCTCAAGCAATCCTCCCACCTGGGCCTCCCAAAGTGCTGGAATTATAGGCGTGAGTCATCATGCTGAGTCTCAAAAAATTATTTCTACTTGGATTTAAAAAATGTTTTTATGCTTTGGAAGTATCGGATAGCCTGAGACTCTGCAAATACTCAGTCCATCTATTTTAGAGACAGAAAACATCACTCCTTGGTCTAATAAAAACACCACCAAAGCAGACAAGGCAGCTTTCTTTATAGCATTGTTTTTTTGTTTTTTTTTTTTTTTTTGAGACAGAGTCTTGCTTTGTTGCCCAGGCTAGAGTGAGTGCCATGGCGTCAGCCTAGCTCATAGCAACCTCAAACTCCTGGCTCAAGCAATCCTCCTGCCTCAGCCTCCCGAGTAGCTGGGACTACAGGCATTCGCCACCATGCCCGGCTAATTTTTTGTATATATATTAGTTGGCCAATTAATTTCTTTCTATTTTTATAGTAGAGACGGGGTCTCGCTCTTGCTCAGGCTGGTTTCGAACTCCTGACCTCGAGCAATCCGCCCGCCTCGGCCTCCCAGAGAGCTAGGATTACAGGCGTGAGCCACCGCGCCCGGCCTTTATAGCATTGTTTTCAGGTTCATAACTCCCTTCCTTTGGACTTAGGCTTCCAAAGCTGCAGCTGCATTACAGGGATGTGAGGGAAAAATATGACAATAATGCCACCAAAGGCGTGAGAACACGAAGTGATCTGTCCATAAGAGGCTGACTGCAGAGTCTGTGAATTACAGCGAGTTGACCTGGCTGTTGAAAACAGACATGGCAGAGCCCCCTGTGAAAAGTCAGGATCATGTCTGCTCTTGGGGTCTGTCCAGTTTCTAGAAGTCCTCACAGCCTCCCCAGAGGGCCCCAACTTGCAATGTAAGTGGCTTCCACGGCAAGTTCCAATGACTTGGGAGCTGGCTCTGGGAGCTATGGCTGACCACCCCTGGGGAGCTGCCAGGGCCCTGGCTTCTCTACATGGCACCTGCCGACGTCCACGGGAGTGGTAGCTACACCCTCACATGGACACGCAGACAAGATGGCAGCATCACTAGAGTTCAGGGAAGTGGGAATCTGTCACCCACACTCACCCTGCCGCTCTCTACAATCTCTCTCTGGAGGTCCTTGGAGGCCACGATCAGCACCTGAATAGCTTGCATGAGGCCGGTACAGGAACCAAGGATTCTGTAAAAAAAAAACCAAAAAACAGTCAGGGACACACAGAGACCAACAATGAAGACGACAGTTCTCTTTTTCACTCCCAGTCACAGGCAAGCGTGGAATGGGAAAGAGAGGCAGGGACAGGGCCGAGCTTGCTAGAATGCTCTGGGGTAAAGCCCCAAAGGAGCAGCAGGGAGTGAGAAGATGTGATTGTGGATTTTCTCTGTAAGGAACAGTCAAGTCAGGATTCCTGGGATTTCTTTTCCGCTATATTGCAACAGCAAATTGCTGTCATCATTATGATTGTCCTTAACAGTTACATAGACTCGGCCCTTCCTGTGGCTGCTAATGTTCTGCTAATTAATTTTCTAACAGGTGATCCCACACAATGACAATGGCTCCTGCTCCCCTAGGTGCTAAGTGCTGCTTGACTGACCTTTCGTTCACCTCCAATTTGACTCCTGTGTCTCCTGCCCGAGATTTGCTGAGCATTTCCTGTGAAAAAGAAGCACGGTTTCTAAATACGTTGCGAGTACTGAGAATCTGCTGACGTCCCGCCACACTTTGAGTCCGACATCCTGCAGTAGCGGGGAAACCCGAATCTAGAAGTCCCCATCCACGTCCTCGCGAGAGAGTCAGGAAAAGAATCAGACTCAAGGTGACTGAGGTGGGACACAGCCACAGCTGGCTGGCTCCATAGTCTGTTCCCTGTCTTGACGTTCTGGCAGCCAGGCCGATACACACAGAGCCACAGCTCCGTGTCAAAGGGGCAGTGACCACAGGTCCTATGGCAGGTGCTCACACCACGGGGCAGGTGGCTTGCATCTTCCACCAAAGGAGCCACAGGTGACCTTCTCTGTGGTGCCCACCCAGCTTTTAATGAGAGAATTACCACTGATTAGGGAGTGGCACTGATTAACTGAGTGCCTGGCGTGGAGATAAACGTGCACGATCCCATCTAACTCTTACAACAGCCCTCTGGGGTAGGGGTGACCATCACTCCCAAAACACAGAAACAGAATCTGAATCTTGGCGAGGTGGATGAAACTTAACCGAGTTACACGGCTCATACGTGATCATTCTGGAACATGAACCCAGGATGGTCTGACACCAAAGTACCTGATCCCTGAAGAAGCTGCCCACCCTCCTTCCAGAGGGGCGTCTCATTTTCTACCCCTCAGAGAAGCCCGTGGGTTTGGGTTTTGGTTCCCTTTGTAGGGGCCTCTGCAGCCACAATGACTGACTGAAGTACGTCTAATGGGCAACATTGCCAAAGGGCGGCCGCCACAGCGTGGCTTCGGGAGATCCTGTGGAAGCCACCATACCTCTATTCTGGCGGTGGCAGTTTCAATGGCAGCTGAAGTGGCCGCCAGCTCCTTGTCTACCAGGTCTCCCAGCTCCTCCTGTTTGATGTCCAGGCCCCTGGGCAGGAGCTCCTGTGAAGAGCATCACAAAGGCTGAAGTGAGCCCTGGGCCTCCTCTCTCTCCTCCCCTGGCAGACCCGTGACCCTTAAAAGATGGCAGAGGTAGGAGGGCACCCCCAACCCCCGCCTCACCCCACCAAACACTTTCTGCAAGCCACAGAAAGGGGGTGTCTTTCACAGACCTCATTGGGTCCTCGTGAACTCCAGAACCTCACCCCCCTCCTCACTCAGAACCCAGCCCCTATTTGCACAGTGTAAATTATATTTGCTAATGTGGGAGGTATCTTTAAAACTTTCCCAAATACAGATGAAATCTCCCAGCCAGTCTAACCCTGATTTAACTTGGCTTCCACAGTACACATAGGAGGCAGTCACCATTCCTGTTGGAACGAGGTGCTGACGGACAGCAAAGCCCATGGGTCTGAAAAACGTCGTGTGTTTTAGTTTGATTTTTGTTATTAAACAAAAGATATGATCAGATCTCTGTTTTAGGAAGATACCAAAGGCTGGGAAACTAATCAGAAGCTGTTCTAAGAGTCTAAATGAGAGCAGAAAAGGATCTGAATTCTAGCCCCGGCTTTTCCTTTCCCTTTATACCACACGTTTTAGGAATTAATTAAATGCTACCTTATTCTGTACTTTTTTTTTTTGGAGACTGGGTCTCACTCAGTTGCCCAGGCTAGAGTATAGTGTGAAATCATAGCTCTCTGCAGCCTCGAACCCCTGGGCTCATGTGATCCTTCTGCCTCAGCTTCCCAAGTAGCCGGGACTACAGGCAAGCACCACCATGCCCGGCTAATTTTTTTTTTTTTGTAAAGATAGGTCTCTGTTGCCTAGACTAGTCTTGAACTTTTGGCCTCAAGCAATCCTCCTGTCTCAGCCTCCCAAAGTGCTGGGGATTAAAGGCATGAGCCACTGTACCCAGCCCTTGCACTGTACTCTTAAAATAGATCTTTATGACGGTTCTTATCACATTGTATAGAAATGGTTGATTTTCTTATTTTTCTTTTTATTTTTTTGAGTCTCACTTTGTTGCCCAGGCTAGAGTGAGTGCCATGACGTCAGCCTAGCTCACAGCAACCTCAAACTCCTGGGCTCAAGCGATCCTCCTGCCTCAGCCTCCCCAAGTAGCTGGGACTACAGGCATATGCCACCATGCCCGGCTCATTTTTTCTATATATATTAGTTGGCCAATTAATTTCTTTGTATTTATAATAGAGACGGGGTCTCGCTCTTGCTCAGGCTGGTTTCGAACTCCTGACCTCGAGCAATCCGCCCACCTCAGCCTCCCAGAGAGCTAGGATTACAGGCGTGAGCCACCGCACCCGGCTTCTTATTTTTCTTCCCTATAGAGTCTTTGTCTCATTTGTCCCCATATAGCTACACCTAACCCAATTTCTGCTTTATGGGACACATTCACTACAACTTTATCAAATGAAAAAATACACAATTATATACATTTTAGGTGCTACCTGCCCAACCAGACAACAATCCTTGGGGACAGGGAAATTGCTTACACTTCTTTGATATTGCCTGGCATGGTGATGATGACATAGATTGCCATCATCACATAGATTGATATACATGACTGGCATAGATTGTCAGTTAACAGTGAATTAAATATAGCTGGGTAGTCAGTCAGGGGTCAGATTTTCCAGCTCTAACTCTCTCTTTCTAGACTCAAGCTGTGGCCAGGCACAGTGGTTCATGCCTATAATCCCAACACTTTGGGAGGCCAAGATGGGAGGATCACTTGAGGCCAGGAGTTTGAGACCAGCTTGGGCAACATAATGAGACCACATTTCTACAAACAATTAAAACTAGGCATGAAGGCGCGCACCTGTAGTCCCCGCTACTCAGGAGGCGGAGGCAGGAGGATTGCTTGGGCCCAGGAGTTCGAGGCTGCAGCGAGCTGTGATCGCTGCACTCCAGCCTGGGCAACAGAGTAAGACTCTGTCTCTAAAAAATTAAAAATATATATATAAAATAAAATAAATAGAATCAAATTGTAAGTACAGAAGGAACTGACTTAGAGCATCACTGATTCCCTGGCAGTGCACCAGCACTCACACCCAAGAACTCACACCCAAGTATTATTATTTCAACAATAATACTGAAAGTACCTCGCCAATGGCCTTGATCTTGCTAAGGCAGTTCCTCATGGCTGTGCAGTCAGCATTCTCAGTGGTTCCCTCTTCCTCCAGGGCGGCCAGGTAGATGAGGGTCTCTCTGCCGTACTGCTTACAGGCCGCTGTCAGAGCTGGAGATGCAAGGTGACGGAGACTTTTAAAAGCCCTCCGCTCCCAGCTTCTATGAATGGCCCCTCACGCCCTGGTACTCACAGTCGGCAGGCTCCGGCGGGCTTCTAAGGCTGGTGGTGCTACCGTGAGCAATGGTGTCACTGGTCAAATGGGCAAGCAGGATTATTGAATGGAGAAGCCCACCGATATCTGCCAGGAGCGTAAAAAGGAAAGTTTCTCAGGATTAAGGATGTCACTCTCATACCCCTTTCTCTCCTGGCTGTACGAGTTATACACACTCCTTTCCTGGTGCACAGGAACCTGTCAGTATTCACACAGTCAAGTGCTTCCGAACCCCACCTGGCAAGAGAGCCTATCCTGTGCCCTTCATACCTTCCGGGCAGGCCAGATACTGGCTCCAGCTTTTTTCCAGTTGATCAATGCAGCTGGAAACAGACTTGACCGTGGAGAGAAGGTGATCTGTGAAAGAGAAGATGGCAAATTCAGAGCAGATTCTCCTAGCTCGCTTCACCCTTGTTAGTTAAGCCACCAGATGGAGGAGCTTGCTGAGTGAGTGGCCCTAGCCCTACAGGAGTTGCCCTGAGATAAGAGAAGGGAGATTGTTGGCTATGCTGGTACTGATGTGATGTGTGTGATTCTCTTACGGGAGAATCTGAGCCTATCTGGTCCCTTACCCAAGGATCGGGGCAACTGCATTGCTGGCCTTTCTCAATACTGCCCTGCATATGAAATCTGGGCTTCCAGGCGGGCACAGTGGCTCCTGCCTGTAATCCTAGCACTCAGGGAGGCCAAGGAGGGTGGATCATTTGAGCTCAGGAGTTCGAGACCAGCCTGAGCAAGAGCGAGACTCTGTCTCTACTAAAAAGATAGAAAGAAATTAGCTGGACAACTAAAAATATATATAGAAAAAATTAGCTGGGTATGATGGTGCATGCCTGTAGTCCCAGGTACTCGGGAGGCTGAGGCAGAAGGATTGCTTGAGCCCAGAAGTTTGAGGTTGCTGTGAGCTAGGCTGATGCCATGGCACTGTAGCCGGGGCAACAGAGTGAGACTGTCTCAAAAAAAAAAAAAAAGAAAGAATCTGGGCTTTCCCGTGAAGCCTCTCAATGTCCTTTGACTCTCACTGCTCTTGAGCCCAGACCCTTGGCTGTCTTAGGCTGGTCTACGCTCATGCTCTGCATGCAACAGTCATGCCCACTGCCCTGCGTCCACAGGGCCGTGCAGAATGTGTAGCACACAGTTAAAAGTGTGGGCTCTCAAGTCCCACTGCCCCAGTGTGGCTCTGTGCTCTGCCATTCCCGGCTGTGTGACCTCAGGCAGCCTGTGCCTGCTTCCTCATCTGCAAACGGAAACAGCAGGACCCCTCTGCGGTGTGGCTGGGAGGACCGGCCGGGCCCAGGCATGTGATGTGCTTGGGCGAGTGCCCTTAGTGAAGCACATAGGAAGCACTCAGTAAACGCCAGCTGTTCCTATTATTTTCACCCCCACCTTTCCTTCTCTTCACTGGTTCCTAACTGTCTTCTTTCAAAACCCAGCTTATAACATAACGTCTCTTCTCAGAATCTGCCCACGGGTGCCCCAGTTCCTGGCATTCCCTCAGTAAATGAGGTACCCAGTGTGCTCTTTCATTTGTAACTGCTGCGTGGCTTCGCAGACGGGTTCCCTGCTGAATAAGCTATAATAGTCCTTGCTGAATACTTCATCAAATCGGGACCTTTCGATTTGATGATAAAAATCGAGTGTCAGCTGTTTCCTGCCTTCTGCTTCGTCTTTCAGTGGGACCTCTCGTTACCGTGCCAATGTGGGCCCTTGGCTTGAAAGTGAGCTGTGATGAGATCTGCTCATGGTCACGTCGCAGCTTCACAAGCCCCTGTGCCTGAGCGCCCCCTCTACTGTGCACAAAGCCCTCCCCTTTCCTCGGGACTCGCCTACATGCACAGTGGGTGGTGGGCCCTTCCTGCCTGTGGTCATGCTGGGTGTTGTGTTTTTATTTTTGTTTTTATTTTTATTTTTATTTTTTTTTTTGAGACAGAGTCTTGCTTTGTTGCCCAGGCTAGAGTGAGTGCCATGGCGTCAGCCTAGCTCACAGCAACCTCAAACTCCTGGGCTCAAGCGATCCTCCTGCCTCAGCCTCCCGGGTAGCTGGGACTACAGGCATGCGCCACCATGCCCGGCTAATTTTTTTTTTTTTATATATATATCAGTTGGCCAATTAATTTCTTTCTATTTATAGTAGAGACGGGGTCTCGCTCTTGCTCAGGCTGGTTTTGAACTCCTGACCTTGAGCAATCCGCCCACCTCGGCCTCCCAAGAGCTAGGATTACAGGCGTGAGCCACAGCGCCCGGCCTATTTTTGTTTTTAGACACAGGGTCTTGCTCCGTTGCTCAGGCTGGAGTGCAGTGGCACAATCATAGCTCACTGTAACCTCAAATTCCTAGGCTCAAGCCCAGCGATCCTCCAACCTCAGCCTCCTGAGTAGCTGGAACTACCAGAGTGTGCCACCACTCCTGGCTAACTTTTTAAAAAATGTTTTATAGGGATGGGGTCTCACTATGTTGCCCAGGCTGGTCTCGAACTCCTGGCCTCAAGCAAACCTCCATTTGGCCTCCCAAAGTGCTGGATTATAGGTATAAGTCACTGCACCCAGCTCATGCTGGGATTTTCACTGGGTTTGCCAGTCCAAGTTTTCTAATACTTCCCTGCCTAGACTTGAAGTTCATGAGCAACTACGTCTTGATTCAGACCACAGTTTCCCCATAGAGGACACAGAACTGTCTGTGTCTCCTTCTACTTGCTGTCACAGTTGTTTCAGGGCTCTGCTCCCAGGAGATGTCTCATCAGTGTGACCCACTGACGAAGGCAGTGGTTATCACACCTGGGGGCTTTAGAAAATGCTACTGCTCAGGCCCTCTGCTGCAGACAGTCGATCTACACTGGGGCCTGGGCACCCCAGGTGATTCCGACATGCGGCTGGGCTGAGGACCCCTAGCTCAGTTTCACATGGGATTCAACACCAACAGGTAGCCTCAGGCTTTAAGGACCTGGCACCTGCAAGCTGGGCAACTAGAGGAGTACCTGCAGAGCCAGCGCAGCTGATGAGCGTGGGTTCTTCGAGCTGGCTCAGGGCCTCTTGTATCACCTGCTCCGCAGACTTCCTCGACTCCACCAGAAGCATTCTGCGTTGGTCTTTCTTGAGCTGGCACATGGATTCCTAGAAAACGGTCCGGGGTGGTGAGAGTCTGCCTCAGACGTCAAAATGAGCCTGAGCAGCATCCACCTGTGACCTGGCTTGGTTCTGCACCAACTCGCTGTACTTCTCCTTCCTGGCATCTCAGCTCAAGGCGTTGCTAATGAGGTCCAAGCCAGTTAGCTTGACACAGAAAAATGCTTTTTACTCTGTCCACAGGTGTGTGCTACCGCCGGCTCCAGGGAAGGGCCACTGCAACCCATTCTCACTCCTGGGAAGCTTCCCTTCTCGTAGGAAACCAAGAGTGCTTTGCTTCCCTCTGCTGGCTCTGGGCGATGCAGGGCGTGCCGGCAGTAGGAGCCAGGCCTCCAGCGTGCCTTGGCCATTGGGTCACGGCGCCCTCCCTGCTCCCCGCCCGCCTCCGTGCACACGCTGCAGCCCACCAGTGTGAGTTCACAGGTGGCCAGCCTGCTCGGCCTCCCTCCGTCACTTGCCTGCGAGCTGGCCAGTTTGAGTTGGGCACATTCCAGCTGCTCCTGAAGGGTGGACAATTCTTTTTCTCGAGAAGCCGCGGAACTCATGAGGCTGGCCCGCTCCTTCTCGAGGTCGGTGATCTGGGCCACCCATTTTGCTTCTGACTGCAACAGTGACCAGGTGGGAAGAGGAAGATGCTGGATGAATTAAACTGTCCCCTTCCCAGAGGCTCAACCCACCACCTGGCCACAAGGAACAGGAGGTGGTGTCTCTTTAACCTGTTACTCTCATTCCCCCCGGGGACACCGCATGCAGCTGGGGCCGGCATGGTGCGTGCAGGATGCTGGGTGACAACAATACCGAAGCCAACGGGAAGGCAAGAAAAGGAGCTGCTCACCTGCGCGGAAGTTTCCAGGCTGTTCTGGAGGACCTGCAGCTCTAGTTTGCTGGTGGTAAGTTCTTCCTTCAAGCTCTCTAGAACTTCCAGCTGTTCTTGAGTCTGAAAGAGGAGAAAACAGGAGGACTGTCATCTGGGTGGTGGTTACAAGGGATATACAAATGTAAAAATTGCCCAAGCTATCAATGAGGGATTTGTGAACCCTACGGTATGTTAAATTATGTCCCAACAAAAAGTTTCTGGGGTTGAAGGACAGTAGGGAAGAGGTGAAAGCCCACAGTGTACTTCTGGCTAAGTAGAATGTCAAGGGAGGAATTTTAGAGACATTTCCCAAACGTCATACGTGAGCCCATAATCCAACAGCCAAACTGGATCTTTCTTTCGGGAACGCAACAACGGGTATCTTGTGGAGCTACAGCATCTCAACATCTTGAGATGATTCCTTTTCTCTGATTTCTTTCCTAAGTGGTGTTTTTCAAAGAGCAGGTTGGGAACCATTAGTAAGAATTTGCAGCTAGTATTTTAAATGATGGATTAAACAGAACAGAAAACTATCCAAATAAATTCATGTGGTAAGGACAAGTATTGCTCGGTGAAACTTTCATTTCCATGAGATAGATGTATTTTTTTTTAATGTGGGGTCACAGAAAAATGTGAAAGGCACCCCCTACACCCGAGGCACCCAGTTTTCTCCATCTCACATCTCCTACTGGGCCTCTTGGCTTCTGACTCCTCTGTTGGCCCCACCTCAATGCAATGGTGTCCTCCCACCTGCAAGTCTCTGTGAATGCTCGCCTTTCTCTGCTGTCGCTGTTTTCCCTTTGTCACACTGTCCTGGAGCCTTGCCCTCGGGCAGCCTTTGCAGATTAGCCCCATTCAGCTTGGGTCCTTCCATTGCTTTGTGCCCCTAACCTCTGTGTGTGTGTTGGTGACCGTGTCCTACTGTTCTGTGTGGTCCCCTGTGATACCCTCCCAGCTGTGTGGTACCAACCAACCCACAGAACTGCCCACGGAGCAGCAGACCACAAAGTCCCCGTCTGCCACCCGTTCGACAGACACCCCTTTTGTTTCCAGGGTAACGTCTTCTGTTCACCTTCCGCTGGCCCTGGTCACTGATGCGCTCCAAGGTGTCCTCCAGTTCTTTCTTCTCTCGCTCCAAATCTACCTGGGCTTGTCTGGCCACAGACATCTGTTTGGTCACCTCTGCATTCTGGAAAGGAAGAACACTGTCTTGAACTGGCTGATCTCAGGCTTTAAAGGACCTCTCTCCCTTCTAGCACAAACAATTGCATGCAGAGTGCCAGTGGCCTAGAGTCGGACACAGGAATCGCTTTCCTGTCCAGGGGGAAGCGAGGATAAAGCTGTAACCTTCAGATACTCGACTCTCGGGTATTTATAAAATAATAAAGATGGTGGGCCTGGCACAAGACACAGGAGGCTGGAGAGCTTGAGAAGCTGTGGTTCCCAGGGCATGGTGGCAACCCCCTAGAAATGTGGGGCCTGAGCGGTTCTCTCCTAGAGGCTCGGGGTCCGCAGGATGGGGGCCGAGGGTGCTACCTTCCGCAGCAGGTCGGCGTGGTTCTGCACCAGCTCGCTGTACTTCTCCTTCAGCTTGCTGTACCGCTGCTCGTTGGCTTGCGCCTTCCCTGCATCGTCAAGCACCAGGGTGAGAAGGGTCTGCCCAGGGGCAGCCCCTGCCCTCCTTCCCGTTAGCCAGGGTCCCCAGACATCCTCTGTTCCTTCCACAAACGCGTATACCCTCTTCTCCCTCAAAAATCCTACTGAAATAAACTTCTCTGGGAAGTTGTCTTTAAAAAAAGAATTCATCGCATTAAGACCTCACCAGGGATTCATGCCTCCTCCACATTTACATACATGGCATTAATTTTATCAGGACGTTGGGCTTTCATGTCAATTTTTTTCTTAGGCTCTCCGGCTGGTGTTCCTCTCCTTGGGGTACGCACCCCTGTGCTCAGCGGTGCCTCCCATGGGCTGTACCTTCTGTACTCGAACCCACCCTTCAGGCTGAGGACGGGAGGTGGCATTCCTGACAGCACTTCTGCCACTCAGCTCCACCTCTGATTGCGATCTAGCTAGACGCGACCCCGAGCCCACCCCCGGCCAGCCCGGTGGCCTCTCACTCTCTATCTCAGTCAGGCTCCGCTGCGCCTTCTCGGTGTCCTCCCACTGCCGCCGGAGCTCGTCCAGCTCTGCTCGGAGGAACTCGCAGTCGTCAGCCGCCTGCTGCCGCAGGTGCCGCTGCTCCGCCAGCTCAGCCTCCAGCTCGCTGATGTGGCCCTTCAGCTGCAGCACGGCCCGCTGGCCCTGCGGGGGGACTCAGGTCATGAGGCCAGTGGCCCACTGCCATGGGGCAGGGTGCTGGGCAGGAGAAGTGGGTCCTGCTGGCTTCCTGCACCAGCCGAGTAAATATCCAGTCCCCTGATGGGCCAAGTCCCGAGATCTTGGGACAGTGGGGCCATAGGTCATTATCAGCCAACCACCACCAATAGGGGATGCTGGCCAGGGAATCCTGGTCCCAGTAAGAGTGGCCAAGGATGTCAGAGGACAAGCTGGAAGGAGGAAGGTGAGGACGCCATCGCTGTCCCTTAGAGTAAAGTCACCTGACCAGCCACAGCTCTGAGGGACAGTCATCGATACAGCACCAGACACCACACACAGCCACCAGAGCTACAAACCCAACTCTTCTTATTGCCCCCTGAGAAGGACCTGTCTTGTCACCATAGCCTCCTAGACAGGTGGTGACCAAGGCCATCTCTGGGCATGGAGGGGACACTGCACCTGGCCCAAATGCAGCTCTTGAGGCACACACAATGGCCATGTGTCACAATGGGGCCATGGGAAGAACAGGTTCTTTGGAGTTTGTCATTTCTGCTAATTAACGTGGCCTCCGGATGTGGTCCAACAAGTATCTACGTGACGCAAATTTAACATCAAAACCTGCCAGGTTTTGGCGACAGATCAGACTCCGTTGCGTACCTCTGTCTTTATGTTGTCCAGCTGTGCCTTCAGCGCACTGATCTCTCTGTACAGCTGCTCAATTAAGTGGTCCCTGGGGGAGGAAAACAAGTTTGCTCCCACCGTGCTTCCGCCTCTCTCCTTGCAATGTGAGCTGGGAGCTCGGGGAGCAAGTCAAAAGCTTGTATTTATTTGGGGACAATTCCCTGAAACTCTATAAATGATGTTACTGTAAGTGTTACCCACTGCTAATCTAACACCCACAGGCCCACAGTTACTGATTTTCTTCTGGAATTAAAAGGGCCAAGACATGAGGATCAAGACATCCCTTATCCAGGAAGCCCCAAGTATCATTAAAGCCCCTCCCTGGTCTGGTGTCGCCAGGCTGATCACGGCTTAACTTAGCTCCTGCACCGTCCGCCGGAACCCAGCTGGGACTCACTTCTCATCCCTGTTGACGCCATTCTGACTGTTGAAATTGAAGGGGTCACTGCTGAACGAGCTGCCAAAGATGTCATCAAACTTGTTGTCAAATAAATTCTGCGGTGACCAAAGGGAGTGAGAACACGTTAAGAGAGCCAGAGAATTCCACTCGTGGAATCAAACCAGAGGCACGTCAGAAGGTCCCCTTTCTTAATCTGGGTCAGACTCACTTACGACCGAACCATGGAGCAGGGTGCTCAGTCTAGGTTAGTGACTGGTTAAGAGAAGGCTGAACCTGGTTAGAGCCACTTAGCCTTGGCAAGGGCCTCGCCCAGGCCCCTCCCCCTCCCCGCACTTATGGGCAACAGGAAGGGCCATGTGGTCCCCACCTTCTGGGAGGGGTCCATGTCCATAAGGTCATCCTTCTCCAAGACCGGCTCGCTGTCAGGGGACGAGGCTTCCACCGGGATCACCACCACAGGGCTGATGTGTTCCGACAGGGCTGAGGCTCGTAGGAAGTTGGGTGGGTTCTGAAGAGGAGAGAAACATCCTCAAGCGGTGCCAGGCCCTGCCAGCCTCCAAGAGAGCACCCGGGACTCCGCAGTGCCCAGGGCGTGGCCGGGCACACTCACCTCGGGCAGCTGAGGGATCTGAATGAGCCGCTTGAAGTACTGGAGGTTGCTGGAGCGGTAGAACAGATCTTTCAACCTAGGGGTGGAGAATGGCCTGAGGGCTGCTGGGTGTCTTCAGCAGCCCCGCTGCTGGGTGTCTTCAGCAGCCCCACGTAGGGGACAGAGCAGACACCCAGCCTCCCTGCCCCCTACTCAGCCCAAAGGCACAGGCCGTCAAGGAGATGAACTCCATGGCAGTAGGAGTCAATTATGATGCTACAGAGAAGGTCATTCGTAGCCAGTCCTCAGTTGTCTGCTGGTGAGGAAGGACCAGTTCCTGCCACGAATACTTTGGAAGAGCGGATAACCCAAAAACTACCTTCTTCATCACTGTGGAATGTGTCTTGTTCTCTTGCAGACTTACCTTCCTAGGAATGTTGGGCTTAGAGTAACATTAAAATAAATTACTTTCTCTGAGCATAAACCATCTAACCACAGTAAAGGGAAGGGAACTTAATTACTAAGGTAGATCTTTATGAATGACCTCCCCTTCTTTTTGAGCTACTCGTTACTTCCTCAACCAGACTGTAAATTCCTAGAAAGTAGAGCCCTGTTGAACTAAGTTTATCATACTACCAGACAAAAAACAATCTGTGCCCTAATCTCGGATGAATATGGGCATGAAGAAACCAACTTGTTTTTTTCCTCATTCCCAAATCTCTATTTGTTGTTGTTGGCTTTTTTTTTTTTTAGAAACAGTCTCGTTCTGTTGCCCAGGCTGGAGTACAGTGATGCAATCATAGCTCACTGCAGCCTCAAGCTCCTGGGCTCAGGCGATCCTCCTGCTTTAGCCTCCCAAGTAGCTGGGACTATAGGCGTATGCCACCACATCTGGCTAATTTTTTTTTTATTTCGGTCTCACCATATTGCCCAGGGTAGTCTTGAATTCCTGGCCTCAAGTGATCCTCCTGCCTTAGCCTCCAGAAGTGCTAGGGTTACAGGCATGAGCCACCACCCCTGGGTCTATTTTGAATCTAAACACTGAAGACCAAAAAACCTGAGAGCATCCAGATTCTGAGATGAAAGAGGATCATGGACCTCAGCACCTTCTACGGGCAGCACAGATTTTTCTCTGGCCCAGCCCAAAAGACTAACCCCCCAGGGTCTCGTCACAGCCTGTCAGACTGTTCCTGTGACGTCATCACTGCTTTCCCTGAGTTCAAGGGCAGTGAGGCCTTGGAGAGCGGCCGTGTCTGTGTGGAAGAGAAAGCGAGGCGGCTCCTCCAGGAGGTGTTTTCATAAGCCAGAGAAAAATGAAAGGAAATCAAATCACCTGACCACACGTCCCGTCTTTCTGGGCCGGAGCCAACAGTAATAGCCTGACTGCTTTCACAAGCTACCAGAATTTAACATTCCAGGAAATCAGCCCCGGGGCCTGTCTCCTAGGATTTAGTAAGTCATTTATCATAGAACGTGCACTAGGCTTATGGAAGGGAACAGGGAAAACCGGAGGGTTAGCGCAACGCAACCCTGCACTTGCCCTGTGATTGCTCCCGGGCAACCAGTGAGAGAAGCCTCAAGTTGGGATTTAGGGGCTGCAGTCAACGATGAGGAAACTGATAAGAAAAACAAGAGTGTCAAAAGACAGAGAGATAAACCAGGATACCATTCTCAGCTCCTTTGGTCCTGCCCCTTCCTGGACATGCTTTCTTAAAGGATGGGCTTTATGTCTCATCTACTCGTCACTTTGTCTCTCCAAATGCACCAGAATAATCTATTCCCCAGTCAGACAAGCTCTTCCTCGCCTAGACTAGATCGCTGGCTAATGAGCTCATTAATTAATTCAAATATTTATTGAGCACCATGTGTTTCATGAACTGCTATTTGTCAGGTGCTAGGGATAGAGTAATGGTCAAAAAGGCCAAATAGAAAAAATAGCCGTGCCAGGAACTATGACAGAAACACAAAGGGTGCTGTGGCAGAGACTTTTTTCTTTTTTGAGACAGAGTCTCACTTTCTTGCCCAAGCTAGAGTGAGTGCTGTGGCGTCAGCCTAGCTCACAGCAACCTCAAACTCCTGGGCTCAGGCGATCCTTCTGGCTCAGCCTCCCAAGTAGCTGGGACTACAGGCATGCACCACCATGCCCGGCTGATTTTTTGTATATATATTTTTAGTTGGTCAATTAATTTCTTTCTATTTTTGGTAGAGACGGGGTCTCACTCAGGCTGGTTTTGAACTCCTGACGTCGAGAAATCCGCCTGCCTCAGCCTCCCAGATTATGGGCGTGAGCCACCGCACCCAGCCTGTGGCACCCCACTTTGGGGTGGGGTTGGGCTAGAGGAAGAGGAGTGGGGAAGGTGACCCAACTTACATAAGGGGGTCAAAGACTGCCCTTCTGATGAGGTGACAAAACATGACCCAGAGCTGGCCAGGTTGGGAGAAAAGCACCCCAAGAAGAGGCAACAGCAAGCACAGAGGCCCTGATGTTTCAGGAATGGAAAGAAGACCCCAAGTGGCACCGTGAGCAACATAGACAAGGTCAGAAGTGGCAGTCAGGGGCCTGGCCAAGAGCTTAGATTTTATTCTACATGTAACCAGGAATCATTACACGGTTTATGTTCTTACAGGGTGTTCTATCCGTTGGGTGAGGACCATATTGTAGGGAGCAGAGTGGAAGCCCAGGAGGACAGTCAATATTGAAGGATTCTGGCAGGTATGGGAGAAGATGGAAATGTGGAAGGAGCAAGATGTATTTATTGTAGGGTATCACCTGAACCTGCTAATGGATCAGACATGGGGGATGAGGAAAATGGCAAGTTCCAGATCTCTGGCCTAAATGGATGGCGGCAGTATTTACTGAGATAGAAAGGATTAGGGAGAGAAAGGTTTTTCGGAAAAACCTGGAGTTCAGTTTGAGATTTAAGTCTGGTGTGTAAATGTCAAATCAGGCATGTGAGACTGGAATCCAGAAGTTTCAACTACAAATATATAGTTAAGAATTGTCAGCACGTAAACGCTACAAGATCAGAACTTAGGGAGAGGAAAAACAGAAAAAGATGAAGTCTTATGCACAAAGCAGGTGATTGATGAATGGATGAAATCTGTTTCTTCTGTAAGCTTCCATGTGATTTATCAGAGATCCAATAGCTCCCCCAGCCAGTGGGAGGTATGCTGCTGTCTGAGCTACTTTCTGTCACTTTGTCGCCTTAATGCTCATATCCTCACCCCTCCAGAACGTTAAAGCAGGTGCTCCTGCACAGCTGCACTGATTTTATATCACTCTCTGACCCACCTTCCTCTCTGTCACTCAAGCTACTTACTTTGTGAACTGCTCCATGAAGCGGTCCCGGTGGCCTTGCAAGGTGTCAGCTGGGAGGCCTGCAGGAAATTGGAAAGAGTGTGAGCGGGGAGGAGGACCAGAGGGCAGGCAAGCCACAGCAGGGCTCTGGAAGGAGGGGACCAGCCATCTCAGGGCATGCGGCCAGCCCTGCCAGGGGCCACTCCTGGCCTAAAGTGGCCCTGAGGACTGGTTCCCAGTAGAGCCCAGCAGGACTGGCAGGGGTGCAGGGACGACCATCCTCAAATCCTTCCACTGCAGTTTGCTCCTGGGCACAGAGGAAGTTGTGTCCCTGACCACAGAAGCAGTGGTGAGCTGACCACAGGGCAGGCCCGGGAGGGGGCGGTTCTCTCCCAGGTGCTCTATGCTCAGCACCGCTGTGTGTTCTGGGCTGAGGCTCAGGACTGATGTTAGTCTGGGACAGATCCACACGGCCCGCCTGAGAGGATGCCTGTCATAATAAAAAGGACACAGGCCCGAGACTCAGGGGACCTAGATCCAGTCCTGGCTTGGTCACTAGCCAACTCTATAGCACTGCACAGCAGTGGCCTCTTAAGGAAAGTCTCCTCCCATGCAGGGCCCGTTCTCTGAGGTCCCTTCACCTCCCAGATTGTGTGAGTCTGTATTGCAGCTATAGATCACAGCTTAGCAATCCTTTGAGTTTTGCTTTCTTATTTAGATTTAAATTCTAGTTAATTTTAAATGGGTGATACATGCATTTGGTATAAGCAGGGAGCACATGTATGACGCATGACCATTCCAAATGGCAACAGTGGACAGTGGAGGGATGTGGCACTTTACCTCCTTGGTCTTTCTCCCGAGGACCCGTAGCCCCAGTCAAATCAAGAAAAAAACATTGGAAAAAAACAAATTGAGGGATATTCTGCCAAAAAACCTGAGCAGTACTCAAAACTGTCAAGGTCATCAAAAACAAGGCAAGTCTGAGAAATGGTCATAGCCAAGGGAAGCCCAAGGAGACACGACAACTAAATGTCCTATGGTGTCCTGGATGAGACTAGGGACAGAAAAGGATATTAGGTAAAAACAGCAGAAATCCTAATGAAGTATGGACTTTAGTTGATAACAAGGTATCAATGCTGGTTCATTAGTTGTGACAAACCTATCACACTAATACATTAACAGTAGAGGAAGCTGGGTATAGGGTACATGGGAACTCTCTGTACTCTCTTTGTAACTTTTCCTGTAACTCTAAAACAAAAGTCTATTTTTAGTAAAGTATATACTGTACAGAGTGCCTCTCCTACCCCTTCCTGTGCCACAGCTCCCCTGTGCGGGGGCAATCTGTGTGGGTCTTGTGAGCTGGCCAGCCTTTAACGAAGGCCCGTACACCCAAATACTTATTAATAATTGCCTGCCTCTTCACTTCCAACTTCATAAGAAGACAGTGGTGATGTTCTACTGGGCAATTATGTTCTGCAGCATCTTGGAAACAATATAAGTTCATCTCTGTTCAGTGTTTCTAAGCAGCCACCTCCCTTCTCTTGGGGCTCAGTCCTCTCTCTGCTCCCTTCTGGCATACCTACTTGCTCCAAAGCCTTTCTAATCCTTGAACAGCAAATTCCCATCTCCCTTCCACAAAACCATCTGGATTAATCAGTGATGCTACTTTCTTGTCCTGTTTAAATAACCAGGTGTATTACTTGCCAATGGCCACAGTTATAAAGTATCCCTTGTCCTATACTTCTAAACGTATAAGACATCCTTGTCCCCTCTGTGGTGCAAAACCTTGCTAGTATCCATTCATGTCTTGATTTTTCTTGGTTTGTCGTCATCCACATACCCTGCATGGTGGCCGCCTTGGAGTGTGGCCCAGGGATCATTCACATCAGATTTATCTGGGGATTCGCAGATAAACCCTACTAGACCCACTAATTTAAAGAACTGGGGCTCAGACACATCATTTTAAACAAGAAGCGCACAAAAGAATAAGAACTTCTGCAAGGCTGGTAGATTCTAAAATATTTTCTGCTAAGGGCACCCTGGGATCTGCAGCCAGGTAAGAAACAGCCCTCCATGGACTTGAGACGCTGTGTTATATTTTATATTTCTCTGCAAAGTTCCATTTGTGCAGAGATTGTGTTGATGAACGGTTTGGAAATCACTGCCTTAGCTCCTCTGGGTCTAGGCCAGGTGTGCTGTTATTTGTGCAGTTCCTAAAATACTTGACATGCTTGATGAATGGTGATGTGCTCCAGCTAGAGGCAGACAGAGAGGACCAGCCTGGGACACAACTACCGCCAGCCATGGGTTTTACTGGGCACACCAAAGCGTGGGCCCTGCTCTTCTATTCTCACAATGGCCAGAGAGCTCCAGGGTCTTTTGGAACAGAAGCGGAGACCCAAGGCCACCAAGAGGCGCTGCATTTCTCCAGGGGTATCCTCGGGCTGGGACCCTCCTTCTGGCCCAAATCTCATGGAAGACCCGGGCCGGCGTACTCACAGGAGTGGAGTTTGAAGAGAAGCTTGACAGTGTAGTCGTAGAGGTGGCTGCAGTCCAATATGACCTGGATCAGTGGGGCCAGGCGGCACTGCCCAGCTGTCGTCACCGACACAGAGCGCGACATGTCCAAGGAGTTGAACACTAGAAAATAAAAGGGGCAGAAAGGTGGTGGAGCCAGGAAATTATAGGTGACCTCTTCAGAGGGGCAGAAGCAGGGGTTGGACATACACCAAGGCCCTGTTCTGTGCGTGCATTATCTCATCTACCAGATGGATGAGAAAATGGACAAAGCTCCTGTCTTTGAGGAGCTTTCTTGTCCCTGCTCCCAGTCTGATCAGAAAGACAGAACACATCATCTTTTAGAGTTTTCGATTTAATGGGGAGATGGGTTATTGATTAAGGAGAGCCCTCTGTTTTATGGGGAATCAGAATTTCTGGATTGAAAGGGGCTGCAGAGATAGCCAATCCAGCCCTCCCTGTCACCCCTGACCTTTAGGAACACCAAGACTGGTGGTGGCCGCAGCTAACCTGTGGGGAAAGTATCAAACATTGATCAGAAGATGAAGAAGGGACCACGTAGCTGTGGCTTCCTAGTGGCTTGCTACAGGGGTTCTGGGATGCCAGGAGGGAGATGGACAATTGCAGAGCCTACGAGGGCCACAGTAAGGGGCCAGAGAACAGGAGGCACCGTCAGGACCAAAGGCCGATCGAGGTCCTTTGGGAACCCGGTGTACAGAAGTAGAAGTACTGCCCTCCACCTCCCAAGTTCCAGAGAGGAAGCTGCTCCCTCCCAAGCCAACTGGAGGCCAGGCTGTGGACCCTGATCTCACACCACCGGCCAGGGCTGATTTTCCTTCTTGCATGGGCTGCCCACTGCCTCTGGGAGACTCCACATGTGACAGGCAACCGAAATGACTCTCCCCGTAGTCCCTCTGTGAGCGGAACTGTCCCGCAGAGAAGCCTGGAGCTGCACGTGCTCTGCCTCCCCTGACTGTACTGATGGTAACTGGGCTAGTCTGGCGGCTGCAAAAAATCCCAAACTGTTCTAATTAAAAGGCGGCTTTTCTTCTTGACACAAATTAAAAGCAGCTGTCACTGCAAGGCAGCCGTCCCCAAGTCCACAGGCTTCCTCAGGCTCCACTCTGGCGAGAAACCACAGGCGACTCCGTCTCCCTGCCTGCCTGACTCCCGCCCGGTGGCCCCCAGCAGTGTGGCCGTGGACAAGCAGCCCAACCTCTCTGTGCCATCAGACGCTCTTCGGTGAAGCACGGACGGCTGTAACAGCACACACCTGGTAAGGGTCTCGTAATACTTAACGGGAATGTCGTGGGAAGTGCACAGATTTGTGCAGCAGATCTCAACCTTGGCTTTGAAAAACTATTATCTGCCTGCAACTCCCCACCACCATCTGTTTTACTAGGTCTGGGGCATCAGTAGGGTTCAAAAGCCACACACCCCAGGTGATTCTAATATGCAGCCAGGGTTGAAAACTATTTCCTAGCTCAGCAGTTGGCAAACTTTAGCATGTATAAGAATCACCCAGCTCTGACTCAAGGGGGGAGGGGAGGCTAGGGCAATATATGTAACAGGCATAATATGCTGAAATAAAAAAAAAAAGAATATAAAAAAATAATTGCTATGTTTCACAATTTCAGTAATAAAGCTTTGCAAGGAAAAAAAAAAAAAGAATCACCCAGAGTAGTGCTGTCCAGCTGACTTCCGTAATGATGGATAGAAATGTTCGGTATGGACTGTCCCATGTGCTAACCACACGTGGCTACCTGACATACACCTGAAATATGGCTAGTGCAACTGGGAGGGCCTAACTTTTAAATGCTATTTACCTCCAGAAATTCTGACTCAGTAGGTCTGGGATGAAACCCACAGATTTGCTTTTCTAACAAGTTCTCAGGTGATGCTGATGCTGCCGGTCTGGAGACCACACTTTGAAAACCAAGTAAGTCCTCAAAATAAATGCTAAGTGTCATTTCCCGATGTTTCCTGCAGTGCTGAAAACCAGTGGCACCCTTCCAAGGGTACCGGTCAGAACCCTACAAGGTCACAGATGAGGACTCAGCCTAGAGAGACGTATTCCACGCCAGCCCTCTTGATTTTTGTGGCACTCGGATGTAGACACCTGAGGCAGAGCGGGTTTGGGCATACATGTAACAGAGGGTTCTGGCTTCCAAATCAATACATTAGACCACGGAGGGCTTTATGCAAAGACTTGGGGTTTAAACACGGGTAGCTCTATTCTAGAATACTCTAAGTAATTCATGCCAAATATTCCTAGAGCATGAAGCTGGAAGCTGACAACATTTAATGAATTCTATTCACCTATCTCTTCATTGCTATTTTTCCAAAAGCAGCATTTTTTCTTTTCTTTTCTTTCTTTCTTTTTTTTTTTTTTTAAGAGACAGGGTTTCACTGTGTCACCCAGGCTGGAGTGCAGTGGTGTCATCATAGCTCACACCAACTTCAAACTCCTGGGCTCAAGCAATCCTACATCACACTCTCAAGAAGCTGGGACTACAGGCATGGACCACCATACCCAGCTAATTTTTCTATTTTCTATAGAGACAGGGTCACACTATGTTGCCCAGCCTGGTCTCACACTCCTGGCCTCAAGCAATCCTCCTGTCTCAGCCTTCTAAAGTCCTGATATTACAGGTGTGAACCACTGCGCCCAGCTGGAAGCCATTATTTTATTGCAGAGAATTTGCCATATATACCAGGCACTGGACTAAAACAGAGGGAATCCATAGATGAGTAGGTCACGGCTCCCGATTTGGGGGAGGGGCACAAAAATCTTGTGGTCATAATGTTAAGGGAACAACGCATAAAAAAGCAGGGCCAGGGCTCATGAGACCCGGGACAAAAGGACTGAGCTGACCATCTGCACCCCACGCTCACTCTCTCAGCTTACTCACGTCCTTCTGTATGTCATCTCTTCTCTGCGCAGTCCGCCTGTCTGCCAGGAGCTGGCAGGACATCTCCAAAGGGTCCAAATTTGACTCACTCTCCCCCAGCCACCACAGCAATGGCAGGCAGGCAGACAGCAGTGGCTCTGAGGGGCCAGAGCTGCTGGGAGACAGCTGGGATCAGCTGAGTTGCAACTTCTAGGTTGCACTTTCCCAAGAATAACAATTCCGAGAATATTATTCATGCCTGCATTCAAATCTAGCACATTCCAAAGCTAAATGCAAATGAACTCTGAATTATTCACCCAGGTCCTTCCCACCCAAAGGGAAGTGATGAAAAGTTAGCCATGACAATTATTCATATACTTTTATGCAAACATGTCCAATGCATTAAGAAAGAATGCATCTATACCACTTGTCTCAACCTGGCTAGGTTGAGAGGGCAGAGATTGTATTCAAGAGCAGCCTGGGCAACATAGCCCTGTCTCTACTCAGCAAGACCCTGTCTCTACGAAAAATAGAAAAATTAGCTGGGTTGGTGGCACACGCCTGTAGTCCCAGCTACTCAGGAGGTTGAGGCAGGAAGATCACTTGAATCCAGGAGTTTGAGCTATGATGATGCTACTGCACTCCAACCCAGGCAACACAGAGACCCTGTCTCTAAAATAAAATAAAATAAAATAAAATAAAATAAAAAGTATTAAGGAATTTGTTGCCCTATCACAGGCCTAGTACAGCCTGGAACAGAATATTCTGGAAAAGAATAGGCCAGTAGTAAGCATTTGATGCACAGATGAACACACTGAGGGAAGCTGCAATTCAGGGTGAAGAGTCAGAGCCCTGAGAGTGGGCCCTCCATGTGCACATGCTGAGAAGGCCACCACGCTTGTGCATGACACCTGCAGTGGGGAACACCTTGAGACTTAGAACATTGCTCCTTTGTCCCCCAGGGAAAGGAGGGAGCCTGCTGGGAGGCACGGGGAGGAGAGACGCTGGGGAGAAGGAACCAGCTGAGGCCTTTCGGGGAAGCGTCTGGGCTGACGGTCTGGAGGCACCAGAATTTTCGGGAAAAGTGAGCCTGGAAGTGCACCCAACTTTCCTGCTAGCAGAGTGGGACTTCAAGAGCTTCTCACGTGGACCTGGGTGACACCCAACCTGACCAGCCTGTTCCGATGGCTGCCAACCAAACAGCAGACACAAGCCCTTCCTCCTGAGCAGAAATCATGCCCTTGAGCAGGCCCAGCTCCGAGTGGCAGGCAGGACTGGTGGGGCTGTGGCCACACAGTCCAATCGATGGCTGTCAAAGAGGTATTTGGGCTCTTGGAGGCCTGGGCTTGTGGAGGGAGGCCAGCAGGGAGGGGAAGTATGGTCTTTCTGCTCCGACATGAAACTACCAACTTGGACAATAGCCGAGAGCTTTGGGCCCTCCCTGCGTGGGGAATGGAGGGCACAGAGATGAGGAGTGAACGTCTCTATTTTCCTGCCCCTTGTGTTGCGCAACTTGTAGGGAAAGGAGGGCCAGGCCAGCTGGTCCCAGCAGGGAACAAGGCTGGGAATGAGGCAACTCCTGTGAGAGCCAGGGTCAGATGGGAGGGAGGAGACTCACCAGTTTGGAAGAGGTTTAGTTCACACTCCAGGTAGTCAAACATCTCCACTGTTAACTGGAAACTGGACCCAAGAGAAAAGAGAGCTTACACTCCACAGCCCGAGGCCAGTCTGTCACCTGCCCCTTCCTCATGCTCTGCACTGCTGCTTCTAGTCCCCAGTGCACACAAGAATGCACTTGTACACATAGGCATACACATGTACACATACACACATGCACAATACATGCACACGCATCCCAGACCCCATTCTCAGCCCCCACCCGAGTGGGTATTAGGCCAGCTGAAGGTCCAGCAGGGCAGGGTTAACGATGACAATGGCAAAGGGAGAGGACAGGTCTCAGTCGTGTTAGGCTGGGAGGGCAAGACAGAGAGGAAAGCCCTGGGCTATGAGACAGCCCAGCAGACGTTCTGGGTAAGGCAGAGTCACCCAAGGCCAAGTCATCCAGGGGCTCTGGTCCCCATCCTGCCATCAGGCCCTGTATGACCCTAATGAGATGTGACAGCATCCACAAAAGCTTTCTCCCCAATGGGCCCACAGCAGGAGGGCAGCCACTTACAAGTTGTTAACATCACTTTCTCCAGCCTCGTCCAGCTGTCGGTCACTCATCTGAAGGTTGCCCGGGAACCTGGGATTCTGGAAGGGAGATAGAGGAAGTCAGAACAGGGCATGTTAGGAGCTCTCTACCTCGCCCGACCGACATCACGCAGCCCTGTGCACACTGAGCTCGGGCAGCTGCAGGCTGGACTGTGCTTGTGTGGCTTGTACTTCCACGGGCACCCACGCTCTTCTTGGGGAGACGGTGTCAGGTCACGCACGCGCACACACACACACACACACACACACACACACACACACACACACACACACACACATAGAATGTCCTCTACCCATTATCACAGGTGAAGGCTCCATCCCACCCCTCAGAGCCAGGTGAGGGCTCCTGCCTTACAATATGCGCCCTGGGACATTCTTCTAAAGATGCTTTCTGTGATGCAATGGCACTCAGCGTGCGACAGTGGTCACCTCCCAATCACCCACGACACGTGAGGCAGTGGAATAATTATTTAGCGCTGGTCCGTCTGAATCCTATTCAGACTTCCTGCTGTCCTTCGCCATTTCCGGAAGCTGCTACTGCGAGACCAGGGCAGGCAAACCTGTTCTCACGTTAGCTGCTGCAGAGTGTAATTAGCAAGAGAAACTCGAGGGCAGGAACATGCTACATGGCACACCCCTACATCAAGAGAAGTTATCTGGTGACATCAGTCACCGCCAAGTATCTATATCCTTGTCTCTTCAACTGTGTGTCTTGTCCGTCTGGCAAAGGAAAGGGCTCCAGAAAGATGGGTGGCCATCCTGTTGGGGGCTCCTAAGTTCCAGAATGAGTACTTTAGGTTCTGAAGATGGAAACCCTGAGATAAAAAGGCAGGGTGGTGGGTGTCCATCATTTCTGTTCTATCTTATCTCAAAGTGGACAGCAGTGGTCCTGCAGGCACAGTCCCGGGACCAGCGCAGTGGCATCACCTGGGGACTTGCTAGAAATGCAAATTCTCAGCCTCACCACAGACCTACTCAGTCAGAAACTCCAGGTGTGTGCCCAGTGAGCTGCTTTAATGTCCCTCCCAGGACTCAGAACAGGTGGGATGGCAGGGAGCTGGGACCGTGAAGCTCAGCAGTGCAGGGAGCCTCTGGGCACCCGGGGAACCAGGGCAGGGGGAGGCGGAGGCAGGGGACACCTGCCTAGCACCCTGCATGATGCCTATGGACTTTGACTTAATCCTCACACCAGTCCACGAGGCGGAAATAATGATTCCCATTTTAGAACCTGGAGTGACGGGTGTTCACTTTCTGAGAGCTGGTTTACACAGGTTAAAGGGCTAAAGGTCACATAGGTATGAAGCTGAACTCTGAACTCGGGTCAGTCTGGCTCGAAAACACGCTGCTTCCGGGCCCAGGCGGAACTCGTGTACAGTAATGGATGTGACACAGACAGGCGCTGGAGGTGGGCCGAGCCAAGAGTGAAGCGCACACACAGGGACTTCTCTCAGCGAGGCCAGCGACTGACTTAGGAGCACCTTCCCCTCAGACAGGCTCCTGCAAAGGCTTGGACACTGCCTGGCACGGTGACTTCACAGCGAATCCAAGCAGTTGCAGCCGTGGGCTCACCTGCCTACGCCAGGCACACAAAAGACATGATGGCATCTGAACTCTGCTTAACATTAAACCCTTGACCTTTTTTGACAGTCTGCCTCTGTGTCCTCCCCCTGGTTTTTCCCCCGAACACACAGCTGCCTTCCATCTTTGTGTCCCGGAGTCCCCACCCCCACCCTCCTGCCAGAAAGTCTCCCGACAGGGGGCTGCCGTAAGGTCCCAGACAAAGGGAAGAGCAGAGCTGGATCTTAGGGTTCATGATTCTGCCCCCGCCTCCCCCGAGGCCTGTGGCTGTGGTAATGCTCCGTCCCCTGCCAGGAAATGCCCACCGCAGACTCGCTCCCGGGCTTCAAGGTGCCCAGGCCTCTGAGGCTGGTGGACTCAGTTCCAGAATTCCACAGAGTCCCATAGGGCACCTCTCGCCTCTGCCGTCCTCAGTGGCAGGTGTCCAAACACAGGGCTCTCCACGCCCAGCCCCTCCCCGCCTCTCTTTCCCCACTGTCCTTGGTGTTTCCTGCGCCCTGTCTCCCATCCCACTGCCCCCTCGGGACTTCAGGGTAGCCTGTAGCCTCTGCCTCTCACTTGCCCCCAAAGGACAGCGCAGGCTCTGGAGTGACGGGCGTTCACTTTCCGAGAGCCCGTTTACACTGGCGGGGCTGTGTAACGACCTTCTTGGGTGGTGATGTTTCTCCACATGAAAACCGCTCTTGTTTGCAAGTTCATTTGATTCAATTATTCCCCCTTTGTATCTCCTCATCCCTGAGACCTGCCATCTCTGGTCACTGCCTGGCATTCACCCGAGTCCCTGGTGGCTGGATCAGAGTCTTCCTCTGCCCCAAGCCCTGCACCCTGGGATTATAACCTCTGACCTCCTCAATTTCAGCACCTCTACTCCACCCCCAGTGATGTGCACCTGCCCTGGACCCTGCTGCCACCTAGAACAGCCCTGCACAGCATCCTCCGCTCCAGCGCCCACTGTCTGGCTGCTATGTCCAGGTCTCTGCCTTTCCAGCCCTCTCCCGCCCTCACGTCTGCCACCACTCAGAGGTGGCCCGTCCCTTCCTGCTCCCCTCTCCTGTCTCTCTGGCCACTCTTACTTCCTGGCTCAGTCTGGATATCAGTCCCACCCCATGCCCTGTCCATCCTTCCACCACCCTGCTATGAAGATCTGCTGAGCCTGGGACTTTGTCACATGCTCTGTGCCTAGGGTCAGCTGCCAAACATCCCCAGAGAAGGACTCACATCTGGTGTCACTACTTGTTCATGCCCTCTGGCCTTAGCGCCCCTCCTACTCAGCTCAGGCTGCTATAACAAGACACCACAGACCGGGCGGCTTAAACACCAGGCATTGACGTCTCACAGGCCTGGGGCTGGGAAGCCCAGAACCACAGTGTGGGCAGATCCGGTGCCTGGTCCAGGCCCTCTTACAGGGCACGTCCCTCACACGGTCGAGAGGGAGAAGCAGGCTCCCTGCTGCCCCTCCTGACTAGGGCACCGATCCCATGCTCGAGGCTCTACCCTCATGACCTATCACCTCCCGAAGGCCCCAGGCCCATCACACTGAGGGTTAGGATTTCAACAAGTAAATTTTGGGGGGACACAAACATTCAGTCCAAAACAGTGCCCACGACAGCCCTGCCATTGCCTTTCTGTGGATGACTGTTTCACTCTCAAACCTGGTATCCGATTCCCACGCTGTCACCTTCAGTACCTGCCTCCCATTCCCTCCCGGCTCTGCATGGACCCCTGTCCTTCCTGTCCTCCCTGTCCTCCCTGCCCTCTAGCCTCTTTCCTTACTCAGGACCAGCCCCTCTGTGCTGTTAGAGCCCATCTAGCTTCCGGTTCATTCTGTCATTCAGTCGGCAAATCCTGATTGAGCACCTGTTCTGGGCTGGATGCCGGGAAGACACCTGTTCTCCGTCCTGTCAGAGACCCCAGGCCAGAGCATCCGGCCCCAAGGCCTCCACTGCTCTCTGCTTGGGCTCCTCTTCCCACCACCCAGGTCTGTCTCACTGGCCCCCCAGCCCCTCTGGTTACTGACCCCCTCCTCTCTTTCCCACTAATCTCCAGGCAGTCCCCAGTCCTCTGTCTGTCCCGAGGACAACTGTCCTAACTCTGGCTCTCATCATCGCCCACACTGGCAGCCTGGGGCTCTCAAGCCCCTCCTCCAACCTGCCCCCAGGAAGAGCAACCCGAGATGTGGAGTGGCCCATGTCACTGCCTCCAAGCATTCTGTGTGGCCCTGAGTCTGGCACAGACGCCCTCGTGGTCTCCGGGCCGCCTCTGCTTCTCCTGTTCTAGCCCTGCTGGTATCTCTCTCCTCTCCCGACCGGACTCCCAAGGCAGGGACAAAGTCGATTTACCCTGCTCTCTTCAGAACCTAACGCCGTCTGGCCCGTGGCAGGCCCTCAATGACACACTGAGGCAGGTGAGAGCGGCCACTGGGCACAGCACAGTGTCAGCACCAAGCAGGCCTGGGTTCAAGTCCACACTTCCCATGGGACTCGGGCAAGGGACTCAACCACCCTCCAAATTTCATTTTCCTAGGATATAATTATACCTGTTTGTACAGTTGTCGTGAACATTATTAAATGATGTCCACAAAAGGTTTAACAGTAGAATAGTATCGATGAATCAAAGCTACCCTTCAAGAAGATAAAAGATAATAGAGATGAAGACATGGACCACACCCATTCCCCAGGGTCCACCTTCGCTTTGCTCTTCCTGACACTGTGACTTTGTCATTTCAGAAGGTCCCGGGCACCTCTCCACAGGCACAGATAACTGCTGTGCACTACGACATGGCTACTGCCAGTGTGCACATGTGCCTTTTCCTTCCATGAATCTGTCAACTCCTACAGAGCAGACAATCTTTACTTCTTCTTCTTCTTCTTCTTTTTTTTTTTAAGAGACAGGGTCTTTCTATGTTGCCCAGGCTGGAGTACAGTGACGTGATCATAGCTCACTGGGCCTGGAATATCTGGGCTCAAGAGATCTTCCTGCTTCAGCCTCCCATGTGGCTGGGGGTATAGGCACACGCCACTGTGCCCAGCTAATTATTTTATTTATTTGTAGAGATGGAGTCTCGCTGTGTTGCCTAGGCTGGTCTCGAACTCTTGGACCCAAGTGATCTGCCTCGATCTCCCAAGTGCTGGAATTAGAGGCATAAGCCGCTGCACCCAGTCCATTTTTTTTTTTTTTTTTTTTTTTTTTGAGACAGAGGCTAGAGTGAGTGCCGTGGCGTCAGCCTAGCTCACAGCAACCTCAAACTCCTGGGCTTGAGTGATCCTTCTGCCTCAGCCTCCCGAGTAGCTGGGACTACAGGCATGCGCCACTATGCCCGGCTGATTTTTTTTTATATATATATCAGTTGGCCAATTAATTTCTTTCTGTTTATAGTAGAGACGGCGTCTCGCTCTTGCTCAGGCTGGTTTTGAACTCCTGACCTTGAGCAATCCGCCCGCCTCGGCCTCCCAAGAGCTAGGATTACAGGCGTGAGCCACAGCGCCCAGCCCCAGTCCATTTTTGACTTATTCTTACACGCTTGTTAGTACCGAGCATACAGTTTTACATGCATCAGGTGTGTGAGAAATACTTACTGACCAAAGCCATATATTGATTCAAAGAACGTTCTGTGTGGAAACTCACTATAGCGATTGCAGGAATCATTCATATTAATAGTAAAATCAGTGCTTCTATAAACTATTATAAAGCAACCTATAAACTATAAGGCAACCTAGTAGATATGGTTCCTCTTTCTAGATGTAAAATGGGGAACAAAAGATAGAAAACACAGGCCGAAACCCCAGTCCTTGCCACACCCCAGAGGCCTGACTGCAGTTTTGCTCTCACACAGCTGGAGCGTGGCCCTAGCGCTCCCTGGGAGCCCAGGCTATCTGTTACCTGAAAGACCCCTATCAGTTAGGCCCAGAGAGGTGCGGAGGGGACTTAGGGTGGGAGCGGGCGGCGGTGGCAGGTCATCTGCCAGGACTCACTTTGGTGTGGTACTCCATCTTCGTTCTCAGCAGTTTGAGGTAGATGCTGCAAAGCTGCCCATACCCCTCACTCAGGTGACCCTGTCAGGAAGAGGTACAGTGTCAATGCTAAGAACAGGTGGGTCCAGAGATCTACAGCTAGGACTTCCTTGGTAGAGAATCTATCTTTTTCCAATTATGAAAATAACAAATATCCATTTTTAAAAATTTAGAAAATACAGAAAAACACGCATACAAACAAATCACCCTTAACCTGACCACTAGATATAATCATAGCTAACATTTTATGGGTATTACCTTTCTTTTCTTTTTTCTTTTTTTTTCTTCTAGACAGAGTCTTGCTCTGTTGCCCAGGCTAGAGTGCTATAGCGTCAGCCTAGCTCACGGCAACCTTGAACTCCTGGGCTCAAGGGAGCCTCCTGCCTCAACCTCCCAAAGTGCTGGGACTACAGGCACATGCCACCACTCCCTGCTGATTTTTTCTATTTTTAGTAGAGATGGGGTCTTGCTCTTGCTCAGGCTGGTCTTGAACTCCTAAGCTCAAGCGATCCTCCCACCTCCGCCTCCCAGAATGCTAGGATTACAGGCATGAGCCACTGCACCCAGCCTATTTCTTCAATTTAAACAGATTATTTTAAGAGCAGTTTTAGGTTTACAGCAAAATTGAGCAGAAAGTAGAGAGACTTCCATTTACTGCCTACGCCTCCCCAAAACACATGACTTCCGTGACTATCAACATCCCTCACCAGAGTGGTACATGTGTCATAATTGCTGAACCGACATTGACATGTCATTATCACCCGTAGTCCAGAGTTTACAGTAGGGTTCACTCTTGGTGTGAAACATCCAATGGGGTTTTGACAAATGTATAATTACCATTAAAGTATCACTCAGAATAATTTCACTATGCTAAAAACCTCAGTGCTTTTTAAAATATAAAACAGAACCAATCTATTTTTTTCAATTAATATACTGCAATTTTGTCCCATCTTCTTAAAGTTTCGTCAGTATCATAATTTTTAGTGACTGTTCCATATAACCGTTATTGTAATTTATTGAACTGACTCTATAAATTCAAATTAGTTGAAATTTTTGCCATCATAAACTATCTTTCAATGAACATTTTCACAGCATTCTTGTGTACAAACATGAGGACTTCCTTAGGATAAATTTTGAACAAGGCTTCTTATTTAAGAATTGTTAAGTCTCTTATCCTTAGCAATCAGAGTCTGGCTATGGGCTAGTTCCTTCCTTCTGTTTTCTCTAAGCACAATAAGAACACCTCCGCCAATGGATTCCAACAGCCTAAGAGCATCTGTACTATTATGATGGGGTGGGGATTTGAAATGGGACCAGTCCCAGCTGGTGCAGAATACACTTTCCCAGGCCCCTGCTGCCCTGAGCCCCTGGGAAGAAGGAAAATTAGCAGGGTGATGTTGGCAACTCCCCAGCTATCTGTAACAGGGAGGGAAATGGAGGCACAAAGAGCCCTTAAACTGAACAGCTGTGGCTTCCACATGAGTTTTGACTTCCACATTTTCTTTTAAGTGCATCTATATCCTCTAGAACAGCGGTCCCCAACATTTTTGGCATAAGGGATCAGGTTCACGGAAGACAATTTTTCCACAGCCCAGGGCTTGGGTGGGGATGGTTTTGGGATGATTCAAGCATGTTACACTTATTGTGCAGTCAAACCTCTCTGCTAATGAGAATCTATATTTGCAGCCGCTCCCCAGCACTAGCATCACCGCCTCAGCTCCACCTCAGATCATCAGGCATCAGATTCTCATAAGGAGTGTGCAACCTAGATCCCTTGCATATGCAGTTACAGGGGTTTTGTGCTCCTGTAAGAATCTAATGCCACTGCTGCTCTGACAGGAGGCGGAGCTCAGGTGGTGATGCTCACCCACTGCTCACTTCCTGCTACATGGCCTGGTTCCTAACAGGCCAAGGACTGGTACCAGTCCTCAGCCCAGGGTTTGGGGACCGCAGCTCTAGAATAGAATAAAGGAACCACATTGAACATGCCTGAAAGGGCACCAAAGGGTGGTAAGGAATGAAAAGAGGTTAAAAATATCAACGCCAGATACGGCAGTATGTTCATAAGGTATTAATTAATTAATTTTCTAGGAACAATTCATATCTTATTAATTTTTATGTAAAATTTATAGAAAAATTCATTATAGAAAAATTAGAAAGTATGGAAAAAGGAGAAAAAATATTCTCACAATCAAAAACAACTAACTATACTTAACATGAAAATATACAAAGATCAAAGAGCAAAAGATGGTCCTAACTTCTAGAAATGCTAAGTCAAAGGCAAGAGACAGAACTACCTGGGAAGAAAGACCTAAAGGAATTCCATTTTGGGTAACAAGGCAGGCTAGGTACCTGGGTTGATCTTCCCACTGAAAACTAAAAATATTGAGTAAAATATTAAAACTTCTTTTTGAAGGCGCCAATGCGTTAGCAAGAGAGTAAGAAATCCTTAGGCCAGGAACTGAGTAAATGCAGATACTCAGGTACCTGGTGAACTAAGCTTTGATTTTCTAGGCCTCAGTGTCCACACGGTGAATAGGAGACAGGACTCTGGCTTGCTCAAGTTGAGGAATTTCGTGGAAAAGTTAAAAGACTGCCTCGCTGATGAAGGGAAGCAAGGGTATATATAAAATAACACACACACTGGCACTGCTGCATAGAGGAAGTCCCCCTGAGGGCTGTAAAGAAAGTCTATAGCCTCAAACCACTATTGTGATTAGAGGGAGGGAAAAACCACTGCTGAGAATTGGACCCATAAGCCAATCCCCAAAGGTATCTACCCAGAATTCATAAAACCTTAAGCTGAGAATTTAATTTAGAGTGATCTCAATGGAAGCAAATGTCAATTCTCTCTGGAAGAACCTGCCTTCATTATAGACTTCAAAGAATTCCCACAAATAAAATTTCAAGGAAAATGAGCAGCTTATAGTAAAAAATAACTAAGCACAAAAGGAAATTATATAGCATGAGCAAAATTCACCAAAAGTGATGGATGACAGAAACAGATCTCTAAGGATTTTAGATAATGGAATTATAAAAAGCAATATATGAAATGAGTACGTTTAACATATCTAAAGAAATAAAGAGGTTGTTTCAAAATATATGTAGGGCATAAGGAATTATAAAAAATACCAACCAAATCTGAAAAAAAAAGATAGAACTTCAAGAAATTAAAACGGTACTAACTAAAACTGAAAATGTTATGGAGAGGTTTACTAACAGATTAGACCCAGCTAAAGAGGGAACAAGTGAATCCAAAGCTAGATCTGATGAAATGATCTAGAATGTGACAGAGACAAATATGTAGAAAAAACCAAAATGGTGGTTTAAAGACACAGAGATAGAGTGAAAGAGTCCAACATGCTTCTAATCAAAGTGTTAGAAGGAAAAGACAGAATGGAGCAAAAGGCAATATTTGAAACAAAAATGAAAATTATTCACAGCTGATAAAAGATATCCACAGATTTAAGAAGTCCAAAGAATCCAAAACAAATTCACTCATAGACACATTCCGAGATCTTAAAATGGTCAGAGATAAAATACAGATTGGCTTCAAAGGAGCAACAGTGAGTCTCACAGCTGACTTTATGAAAATCATGAAAGCCAAAGTCAATGGAAAGAAATCTTGAATTATATCCTCCATGTGCTGACAGAAAATAACTGTCACTCTAGAATTCTAAACCCAGAGAAAATATCTTTCATGAATAAAGTTGAAATAAAGACATTCTCAAACAAACAAAAATGGTGTTTGGCACCAGCAGGCTCTCAATAAAGAACATTCTAGAAGAAATAATTCAAGCAGGAAGAAACTGATCCCAGATGGAAGTTCTGTGGTGAGCACAGAATAAAACAACTAAAATAAAACAATACCTTATTGGGTTTAAAAAGAAAAATATAATGAAAACTAAAATACATGAGAATACTAACATATAAGTTGAAGGAATGAGAATTAAAAAATTCTAAGGTCTTTGTGTTACACAGGAAACAGATAAAGATAAGAAATGTAGACCTTGATAAACTAAGCAAGCATTTTGTAAGTATTAGAGAAAATACCAAAAAATATTTTTTTTAACCTCACAACTGGTAATGAGGAAAAAAATAGAATGACGAAAAAAAACCCCAAAAAACCCAGTCAACCCAAAAAAGGCAAGGAATGCGAAATAGAACCAGAACAGATGGGACAAATAGAAAGCATAAAATAAAATATAAGCATATCATATATAATATCATATATTAAATAAATGTAAATAGATTAAATGCCCAGTAAAAGACAAAGGCTGCCATCTTGAATAAAAAACAAACAAAAACCTCCCATCCAACTAAATGCTATTTACAAGTGATGTTTCTAAGCCATAAGAATATAGGAAAGTTGACGGAAAGACATACCAGGCAAATTCTAATAAAAAGGAAAAGATCTAAGCTTTATATGTGATAAGGAAAGCTCTCTAGGATGCAGTTGGAAGAGTTGAGGACAACTCTCAGCTTTGTTCAGGTAACCAGCCTTGTGACTTTAGGACAAGCTGCCCCGTTCTCTGGGCCTGTATCTCCCCACCTAGGATGGGTAGATAGGACTACGTAATGGCCACCATGTTATGAGTGTTGAGTGCAGATAGATGCTGGTAAGATTTTGAGGGAAAAGGCAGAAGTAGTAGTTCTCAACTGGTAGGGGCAAAGAGACACATCAGAATCAACTACGAAGCATCTTCAAAATGCAAATAACCCTTCTCTGTACACACGCCCTTGGACATCAGAATCTACAGGGACTGGGGGGTTTGTACAGAGACACTCTTTTCAGTTGATTCTGACATTGCCACCTACCTCCTCCTCAGCCTAAGCCACTGAGACTGCCTAGACAGGAAAGAAAGGGTACTGGCATTAAGAACTGGGAATGCTAACCCTCAATGCACAGTGATCCCAGTGGAAGAGAAGAAGTAGGAATGGTGACAATGTAGCTGCTAAGGGATCCCAATGCCCAGACAGCTTTGTGACATGAAGTTCCAGTGACAGGAGAAGCTCCCAGGACCTGGAACTTCTGTGGAGCTTCCAGGGACCCCAGGGAAGACTGTGGACACTGTGATACTATTTGGGGCATCCTTAGCCCCTCCCTGGGCTCATGGGAGAATCCTAAACGAGCTGAAAGAGATGACTACGCCCCATTCCCCAGCCCTTGTTCTGTGGCCTCTGGGAATGGAGAAGGGGCAAGTGGCTCCTGGGCTGTCTCCAAACTCACCCACATCCTGCTCATGTCACTCAAGTCATTCCTGTATCTCAGAGAGTCCTTCAGGACCTGGAGAGGGAAGAGAACAGCCTGTGAGACAGTAGAAGGGAGGGCGGGATGGGGTGGGGAGGACAGGCTGGTTGGAGAGAGGCTGCCCATCTCTAACGGGGAACCCAGAGGCCCGGAGAGGGGGACAGCGTGGGAGTAGACAGCAGCCTCTGCGGCTCAAGGAACTCACATTGGGGTGTCCGTCTCGGAGGAGTTTGTGGAACACATGGCAGAACTTCCAGCAGAGCACCGCGTTGCTGGACAGAGGCAGTCGGTTGACAACAGACCAAAAGGTCTGAGCCCCTTTCTCGTGGTGGGTTCCCAGTATGCACGGTGAGGGGGAGTCATGGAAAACAAAGGCTCGGGCCCTGGCCTAGGCAGCCAGGTCCTGGGGTCAAGCCTGCACCCGGCCACCGCGGAGGGGCAGAGGGGAGAGCAGGCTGGGGTGGTGCTGCCAGAGGGGCACCGCTCGAGCTAGGACATCCTAGATCTACGCGTCATTCTGGCAGTTTTTTGGCAGATGCAAGAAAATGTCTTATTCTAATAAAATCCATTTGCTTAGACAATTTCCCAAGAGATGCAAGTGTCTTGAGAAAGGAGTATTTTTTTCTAATTTGCACAACTGTCCTCTGGGCCAGGGGTGGTTCGTTTGCCCTGCCCCTGGATATGTTGGGTTGGACGGGCACCCTGGGGAATGATCGCGGCTGACTCTTTAACAACATACTCCGGCTTCTCCATGTTTTTTGTTATCCACCATTAAAAGCCACAGCAGGCTCAGCTCCTGACCAAGGCCCCGGCCCCTGCGGTGGTCCCACATCCCGACCTCCTGCTCCCTCGGCCTGCTCCCCAGCAGCACCTCGACCCTGCTCTGGTTGGCCAACCCTGCGCTCGCCTTGACAGCGACAGTCCTCGTCTAAAATGCCCTTTCCACAAACTTAAAATGACTCGAATGCCCCACCTCTCCCATAAACCTTCCTGATTTCGCTGGAAGGAGCCTTCCTCTCCCAACACCTTGAACTCCATGTACGTGGACTCCAAGGGCCACTTCTCCCCAGACTTAATTCCAAACACAGCCACCACCTGCAGACTGCCTGCCACGGTTTGCATGTGACAAGCGTCCATCTGGCCTTTCGTGATTTTAAGTTTAGCATTCCAGATCTCCATTGCCAGTGAGCCCTTTTTGCATGAGCAGAGGGACTCCACGTCCTCTGCAATGGTGTGCTTAAATTAACCAGGCTTCACGGACCCAGCGATGGGCACTGTGAGCCTTAAGGACAGCCCTTTACCTGGAACTTTAGGCTTCCTTATTAAGACTCAGGCACAGTGGCATTTAGGACAAAAAGACTTGCTTTAGGTCAGAAACTAATGACTCATCCAGAACACATGTTTTTGGATGTGAAAGGTACCATAAAATTCCTTCCCCAGATAAAATTTTCATTTTGAGAGGGGTAGGCATGCACAGACTTTTGGGTCTGGAAGCCGAAGTCAGCTTTCAGTCTGGGAGTGACTTCTGAAATAATCTGTGGTTCCACCTAAAGCACAGCCCCTCCAGACTAGCAGGAAGCAATGGGGTGGGGAGGCAGCCCAGCCTCCCCTCTCTGACTTTCCCCAAGAGCAGCCGCTAAACAGGAGCAAGGTCAAGTGCAGAGTCAGCCGGGCACATTGACTTTGAAAGAGGCAAGAAGGCCCTTCTATTTCTATGACTTTATAAGCACTTTTATGCCCTCAATTATGTGTCAGGCACTGTAAAAGGCACTCAGGGAGAAAAATAAGAAAATAAAACATAAAAATAAGACTCAGTCCCCGGCTGTCCAGTTAGGCACCGGTGATAAATGAGTGTCTGAACAGCATTTCTGAAGTCAGACTTACTAATGCTTATTCAGTTGGTACCTAGGATAACCGATGAAGAACAAGTGTTTTGTGATATCTTTAGGTATTTAAAACCCTACTGTATGGAGTTCATCTTTTCAGTATTTATCTACCAATTAGAAATTGTGAATCAGAGAGGCTCAAAGAATGTTAGAGTCAGAATGTTCAATCTTTGAAATCTTCTTCAGCCAACTCTTTCATTCAACAGAAAAGTGACCTAAGGTCTCGGAGTGAGCCCAGGAGCTCCAGAGGTGGCATTTCAGAAACTCCTTCCAGGGTCCCTTCCCTCATTGCAGGTAGCCTCCTTTGCAGCGTGGGATGTGGTTCCGCTGCTGCAGGGCTGGCCTCTCTGGGCCCACCCCCCATCCAGAAGAGCACACTGGCCTGTGACAACTGTCTCTCTCTCCACATCCCACCAGACTGATCACAAATGCTTAGCAGACAGGGGTCAGAACTGAGTAATTCCTTCTGAGATAATCTATTGGGCCACTTAAAATAAAGGCTTTTCTTGGTTTGGTCTTAATCACAGCAAGAACAGCAAATGTGACACGGTAAAGCAAGGGGACTGTGCCTTTCTGGGGAAAACAGAGGGAGACGCAGGCAGGCTCACTGCTGGGTGGGGCTGCAGGGTCAGGCCAGAGAGATTCTATAGCCCCCACCCGACAGCAGAGCGCTCATTCCAGCCAAAGCCTCTTGTCACTAAAGGCAAGCTGCTTTCACCCCAGCAAAGAGTGGTTCACATGCCATGCTGGGTGACACTGGGCTTCTCTGGCCATCTACCTTGGAGGGTCTCCTTCAGGGGCTGAGACTGGATGGCTTCAGGACAAGCTGTTCTGGCCTGACTGGCTTTGGCACAGCACCCAACATCCTGGGCAAAAAGGATCTTCCCATTTCGGCTAGACCCCCAGCCCCCACGTGCCTGGAACTCCACTTGGCTCAGCCCAGCACGCAGATGCCCGGGAGCCTCGCTGGCAGCCTCTCCTTCAGCCCTCGGGGTTGAAGCTCATGGACTCCATTCCTCAAGGGTAGATCCCAAGAGCCCCTGCCTCAGCCCCTGCTTAAGGCCAATCACTCACTAAAGCTGAGACTTTGGTTTTTTTTTTTTTTTTGCTTTCATGCTCAGAAAAGGAGAGGATCGTGTCACCAGAGGGGTGGTCAATGTGGCCTGTGGGCTAAGTGTGGGAACTGGAGGGCTTTGATGATACAGGTGAAAGTGACTTTCAAGTGACTTAGAGGTTCTGAAAAGCTTAAGTCCGGAGAAGAAGAGCAGGATCTCTGGCAAGTTGAAAGGACTGGGGTTGATGGCCTCTTTGGTCCCTGCCACCCTGACGGTCTGTGGTCCCCGCAGCTGGCACTACCCGAGAGCCCGCTGCTGCCCACAGAAGCTGCTCGAACCTGTAGGGCCTGGCCCATGCGGGGGGGTACCCCTTCTGCAGCCAAGCAAGGGAGCCTCGCCCTGACCTCAGCCCCCACAATCCGACCCCCCTTTAGGGCCAGTCTTCCAAGCAATGTCCAAAAGGATATTTCTGGCGTGTTTTTCCTTCACAGCCACTTCCTGCGTATTAATGGCCTTATTGATGCTGACAGTCTGAAAAACAAGAGGGAGGGGGAGGGCACAGAAGGGGGAGATGAATAAGCCTCTGAGAGTGGCTGAGACCCTCCCAGACGCCGGCCCCTTTCTCCTCCTCCAATGAGCCTCTGCTGAGCCCCCTGCCCCTCGGAAGGCCAGTCCCTCCGCGGGCACCCAGCTGGGGGCAGAGGTGGGCAGCGCTCCCAGGCCAGCTGGCCGGGCTGTCCTAAGGGAGCGGGCTCCACTGCCTGGCATTGGCTGTGCCCAGCTGCTGCGCCCGCCTGCCACTCACTCCCTTGGCACAACAACATGGCAATTAAAGCCCGCACAAAGAGACGCTTTTCATTCCCCGGGGAAACATTATTTCTCCCGGAGCAGGAGGAAGAGGCACGGAGATCAGGGAGTAGCTATGGCCGGAGACCACCATCCAGACGCTCCCACTCCCCCCTCTAAACCTTCCAGAGCCTTCCCTGGCTGGCCAGGGCCGGCAGTGACTACTACATCTCTTGTTTTCCCACTCTTGGGCATTTTCCAACTCCTAAGCAAATTCCCCTTTACTTCCTTAATTACATCAAAGGACATTAAAAATATTCACTTCTTTCCAGTTGTTTTTAAAAGCATAACCCTCTTTTCAATTTAGCAAAGCACATACGTACACGAATATCATTTGTACAAACACAGAAACAGGACCACACCACGTAGGATGTTTTCTTAAGTACAGGTTTTTTTCCATTTTCTGTTTTGCTCACATCCTTTCCACAGACGCCATTCTACCCCTAACCCATGTTAACAGCCTGTTGTGTATCCTACACACACACACACACATACAGGCACATACACGCACACAAATATCTACACATGGAAGGGGTCAATTCTCCCACCATTCTCTAAAAATGGGATTGTCACATACAGACTTTTCTATATCTTGCTTTTCTCACTTGAAAATAAATATCTCATGGAAAATTCTCCAAGTGGACTGTACAAACTCTAGTTCATTCTTTTTTTTTTTTTTTTGAGAGAGTCTCGCTTTGTTGCCCAGGCTAGAGTGAGTGCTGTGGTGTCAGCCTAGCTCACAGCAACCTCAATCTCCTGGGCTCAAGCAATCCTTCTGCCTCAGCCTCCCGAGTAGCTGGGACTACAGGCATGTGCCACCATGCCCGGCTAATTTTTTCTATATATATTAGTTGGCCAATTAATTTCTTTCTATTTATAGTAGAGACGGGGTCTCACTCTTGCTCAGGCTGGTTTCGAATTCCTGACCTCGAGCAATCCCGCCCGCCTCGGCCTCCCAGAGTGCTACGATTACAGGCGTGAGCCACCGCGCCCGCATCTAGTTCATTCTTTAAGAAGATAACAGATTATTCCTTGGTGTGGGTGGATGTGATTTATACAAGCATTCCCGTACTGGTAGGCAATCAATTTATTTCCAGTGTTTTTCTGCCGCTGAAACCATTATAGTAAACACTCTTATACATAGATCTTTAGTAACTGATGCTTTTGTTTCCAAGGCATAGATTCCTAGGAATGAGATTACGAGGTCAAAGTGAGTTTTTTTTTTTTAAACTTTCATTATGGAAAAGTCCAAACATATACAAATAGGAAGACGGAGTCTAATAAGCCCTTGTATAGCCTCCAGCATGAACCATTATGAGCTTGTGGCCAAATGTTTCCGATGAAGGAGGGGTGAGCAAACATTTTCTGTAAAGAGCCTATTGGTAAGTATTTTAGGCTGTGTAGGCCACAGGGTCTCCACTGCAGCCATTCAACTCTGCCTTGTGGCTCAAAAGCCACTTTAGCTGAGGCTAGATGAACATGTAAATTAATGAGGGGGCTAGATTCCACTAAACTTTATTTTCAAAGCCAAGTGGCAGGTCTGGTTTTGGCCTGTGGCTGACTCTCAGCTCTACACCAATCAGCCACCAACCCCCATATTCCTGGATTATTTGAAGAAATCCCAGACAATATAACATTTGACCAGCAAATATTTCAGTATGAACTCGAAAAAACAAACAACCCCCCCCCAACTCTTTCAAAATTAACCACAATACTATGACCACACTTAAAATTTTAAAGATAACTCCTTGATATTATCAAATAGCTTAGTTAATATTTGCATTCACATTTTTTCTTTTGGTATTCTAATGAGAATCCACATTTAAAATGTTAAAGATAACTCCTTAATATTATCAAATAGCTTAGTATTTGCATTCACATTTTTTCTTTTGGTATTCTAATTAGGATCCAAATAAAGTTGCCTTAATTTAAATCTTAGTTTCTAAAAAGGATCTAGTGATTACAGTTTCCACTGACAATGTACAAATGCACCCTCACCAACAACAGGGGTTGGGGCTTCTTTTATTTAACAATCCTTGCTGATCTTATGGGTATAGTGACATTTCATCATTGCTTTAATTTGTATTTCCCTGACTGCTAGTGAGTTTGCGCATTTTCTATGTTCATGTAGTTGTTGACAGCTTTACAGAATTAAGAATGTCCATCCTATCTTTTATAGCTTCTAGGTTTAGGTAATGTTCCTCATGCCTCTAGATCAGGCGTCCTCAAACTACGGCCCGAGGGCCACATGCGGCCTGCCGAGGACATTTATCCGGCCAGCTAGTGTTTTTGCCACCGCTGCCTGTCCTGCTTAGCAGCCAACTTGGCCTGGGCCCACAATGCGCATGTGTGGAATGTGTACTCTCCAATGGCCCTCCAATGGTCTGAGGGACAGTGAACTGGCCCCCTGTTTAAAAAGTTGGAGGACCCCTGCTCTAGATTATGCTGATTGACTCTTACATTTTCTTCTAAGTGTTTTATGATTATTATTTACATTTCAGTCTTTATCTGTAATATATATGTGCATACACACACACACACACACACATATTTGGTTTATATAACTTTTTGGATGTTTCTTAAGTCCCTTCCTTTTTCCACGTTTTTTCTTCTCCCTATCAGACTTGACTTTTAAACAGTTCAAGGTCTGCTGTGGTTTGAACTGTATCTCCCCAGAAAAGATTTGTTCAAGTAAAACCATGCCCCCCCCCCCAGACCTATGGATGTAATCTTACTTGGAAATGGGGCATTTGCAGATGGAATCAGTTAAGAGAGGTCATAATGGAGTAGGGTGGGCCCCTAATGTATTATAATGACTGATATTCCTAAAAGAAGATATGGGGACACAGAAACACACAGGGAGGACACCATGGGAAGACAGAGGCAGAGATGAATGATGCGTCTACAAGCCAAGGACTGCTGGGGATTGCACAGCAGTCACCAGAAGCTAAAGAGAGACAAAGGAGTCTTTCCTCAAGCCTTTAAAGAGAGCGTAGCCCTGGTGACACAGTTCTAGCCTCCAGAGCAGTAACAATGGACCTGTTGTTTTAAGCCACCTAGTTTGTGGAAATTCATTATAGCAGCCCCAGGACACTAACACAGGGTCCTTTCCCCATCAGACGGGGTCCTCAAGAACCAGACCAACCTGGGGCACACAGTATCACCATTCCCTTTCCTGCAGATTTCTGCAGGTGCATTACAGCCACGTCTGCAGCCTCGTTTAAATCCTTTTCTTCCCCTGGCACCAGGACAATGGTCAGATTCCGGCTGCCGACAGACTGCTGGGCAAAGTCATCACATTTACTGAGCCCTTAAAGGTTGCCTGCAGTCGGAAAGGAATATTAAGGAACATAAAAATGTAAAAGCACAACAAGAGATCCGAATCCAGTAAGGTGCTGCATTGCACACTGTCAATTCTGGGGGGTTGGTGGAGCCGCTCAGGAATGCAGCCGTGAGGAAGAAGAGAAAACCATGTAGCTGCAAGCACTAGAAACTGCTGCAGGGCCTCCAGGGAGGACCTGTGACGGACGGGATTTAGATTTACCCCATAAATGTTTGTTTATACTACCTGACCAATTGCCCAAGCCTGTGGTCATTATCAGTCTTACTCACAAAATCAAAAATATCTTAAAATTCCCTTAGGCAACATAAAATAATGCACCATGCATTTGTAACTATAGATTCTCTCTGTGTGTGCATCTGAATATTGGAAAAGTTCTGCGCTGTACATGTTGAAAGGAGAGAGGAATCCCTTTAAACTGAGATGCTGCTCAGGGAAGACTTCTTAGAGGAAGAAGGGGGCCACTTGTCCCAGGTAACTGTCCCCTGCAATTTACCTACTTCTCTTGTTTGTGCATCAGAAGTCTGGGGGCACTTAGGGACTGCTGCTCAGAAAGGCTGAGAAACTTACCCACAGCCATACTGTTTGGTTCCAAGCCTGGAACCACCTTGACAGTTCGGTGCTGTGGAGGGGCTTGCAGGAGACTGGGTCCAGGCAGGGGACACAGAGGACAGGCCCTCCAGGCAGAGAGAGTGGCTCAGGCAAAGCACGGAGCGAGCAGGCTGGGGTGTGGAGAGAACGGGAGAAGCCAGAAAGGAGGTGAAGCGGGGTGTGGGAGGCCAGTGGGCTTCCGGGCAGCAGCGGGAAGGGGTGGCGGCAGCAGCCGTGAGAGCTGGAGCAGAGCTGGGGCGGGGGGGGGCGACGGGGGTGCCTGGAAGCAGGGAGTCTCGAGGAGGGAAGCTCTGGAATAGCGCAGAAGTAGGAATGTAGGAACCCAAACGATGGAAGTGAGAATGGAAAGAACGCTCTGTCACATGGGCTGTGACATGAACTTCAGCAGGATTGGCGGGCAGGACCTCCCGGCCACGGGGACACAGCAGAGGGAAGCAGTGACGGTCCATCAGAGATGCTGCAGAGACCTGAACCTAGACGAGGGCTCTGAACCTAAGCCGGGGAAGACACTGTAAGCAAAGGACCTGAAGGAACAAAGAACAGCGAGGCCAGGAAGGTTTGGGGTACAAAACAGCCATTTTTAAAAGAATGAGGATGTGAACTAGCAGTAGCAGTGGTTATAATCATCTAGATGATGGCAGCTAACGAGTGCCATGTCCTCTTCCCTCCCTACCAGGACTGTGCTAACCGGGCCTACGACTTATCTCACCGAAAGTCTCCTGACTCTACAACC